GGAAGAGAGAGGGATAGAGAGTTAGAAACATCAATGAGAGAGAAACATCGATCAGCTGCTTCTTGCACACCCCCTACTGGGGATGTGCCCGCAACCAATATACATGCCCTTGACCAGAATCGAACCTGGGACCTTTCAGTCTGCAGGCTGACGCTCTACCACTGAGCCAAACTGATTTCGGCCATCAGATTTTTTATTCACTTGATTTTTAGATTCACTTATTGATAGATACATATTTGTTGTTCATAATTTTTATCTTTACCTTTTTCTTCCTCTTTTTAAAGAATATCTTTCAACATTTCATGTAATACTGGTTTGGCGGTGATGAACTCCTTTAGCTTTTTCTTATCTGTGAAGCTCCTTATCTGACCTTCAATTCTGAATGATAGCTTCGCTGGGTAGAGTAACCTTGGTTGTAGTTTCTTGCTATTCATCACTTTGAATATTTCTTGCCACTCCCGTCTGGCCTGCATAGTTTCTGATGAGAAATCAGTTGAAAGTCGTATAGGTGCTCCCTTGTAGGTAACTAGCTGTTTTTCTCTTGCTGCTTTTAATATTCTCTCTTTGTCTTTTACTCTTAAGATTTTAATTATGATGTGTCTACTAGGGGTTCTCTTCTCTTCCTGGACTTGTAAGTCTACTTCTTTCACCAGGTGGGGGAAGTTTTCTGTCACTATTTCTTTAAATAGGTTTTCAGTATCTTGCTCTCTCTCTTCTTCTGACACCCCCATAATTAAGATGTTGGTATGCTTGAGGATGTCCCAGAGCATTCGTACACAACCTTCAGATTTTTGGATTCTTTTATCTTTTTTGCTTTTCCAGTTGAGGGTTTTTTGCTTCTTTGTATTCCAAATCTTTGACTTGATTCTTACAATCCTCTAGACTGCTGTTAGGTCTCTGTATAATATTTTTTATTTCAGTCAATGGATATTTAATTTCTAGTTGGTCCTTTTTCATATCCTCGAGGGTTTCATTAAATTTGTCAGTCTTTTTTTTAGGAAATTCTTGAAAAATCTGGTTTTGAACTCTATATCCAGTCATTTGCTTTCCTCCATTTCTTTCATTTATGATCTGTTTCTTTGTCTCCACATTTTCGCTGCTTCCCTGAGTTGGCAGAGTAGCTTTGTGTGGTAGGTGTCCTATATGGCCCAGTGGCTCAGCCTCCCCACTTACCAGGAGTGGACACTTTTGGTGCACCCCTTTGTGGACTGTGTGCACAGCCTTGTTGTAGGTAAGCCTTGATTGTTATTGGTATCATGGGAGGAATTGACCTCCAGGCCAATTGGCTGTGAGGATCAGCTGTGTCTACACTGGGAGAACTGTGCTGGAGACACCCTTATGGGAGAAGATTGTAAAAGTGTCTGTGCTCAGCTTGCATGGGGCAGAGTCTCAGGGTGGAGCAGACAGCCTTGGCTTCCCATCAGCCCTGCCCTATGAAACCTCTGGGTCTCAGTGTCCCTCGGTAATCACTGTAAGCACCTCTGAGAGAAACGCCATTGAATTTCACCCACTGCCAGACAGTTCAGTTTCTTTCCGAATGAGTCGAGGTTTCCAGAAACTTGCCCTAAACTAGAGTTCAGCGCTGTTGGGAGCTTTTGCATCCAGCTTTAGAAAGCCAACGCGCATTCAGCTTCTCTGCATGTGCCTCCAGACCTCTGTTTTCTGTAGCTCCTGAGTCTGTGCTTTCCCTTTTCCTGACAGTCCAGATTCCCCCAATGATTCTGGTCTACCAGTGTTTTGCCCGGGATTGGAATTAAGCGCAGTTGGGAGCTTCTGTCTCCCTCTCCCTTTAGGAAGCCAGCCTCACACTCGGCCTCCCGTGCACACAGCTGCCCGTCCTCTCCACGTGTACGTCTCTGTACTTAAGCCTTTCACAGCTCCTCTGAGTCTCTTGTGTTTCCTTTTTCCTTCTAGTTGTAGAATTTCCACTCAGCCAGCTTTCCTGTGATTCTTGATGGTGTCTATTTTATCTTTTAGTTGTAGTTTTTGATATTGTTGTGCCAGACAGCAGTTTAGGTGTTTACCTATGCCATCTTGGTTTCTCCCTGAACTTTTCTAAAATCAATATTTATTGTTGAAGGTATTATAGATATCTCTCCTTTTTCCCCTCATTGGTCCCCTCCTCCCCCATCCCTTTCCCTCCCAAGGCCTTCACCCATACTATTGTCTGTATCCATGGGTTGAACATATAAGTTCTTCAGTTAATCTCCTGCCACCCCCTCCCCTTCCCTCTGAGACTCCTCAGTTTGTTTTATGCTTATGGCCATGTTACCCTCCACACATGGATTATTAGACTTTAATTAGCTTGGATACTAAGCTACTCCCAACATGGAAAGGAAGTTCCACATACAGGCCTGCTTCTGGAACGCCAGCTACACATTTTCCAGGACTGGCTTCTCCCAGTAAACTTTGGTTCTATTGAAGTTTTTGTCTGCAACTTCTTTCTTCGATTTAGCAAGAGAAGAACTTGGACTCAAACACCCACATTTTTTTGTTTCAGTGGGGAAAGAAAAGAGAGACATCAACTGCTGACCTTTTTTTTATTTTATTGATTTTTTACAGAGAGGAAGAGAGAGGGATAGAGAGTTAGAAACATTGATGAGAAAGAATCATCCATCAGCTGCCTCTTGCACACCCCTACTAGGGATGTGCCTACAACCAAGGTACATGCCCCTGACTGGAATCAAACACGGGACCTTTCAGTCCGCAGGCTGACGCTCTATCCACCGAGCCAAACCGGTTTTGGCAACTGCTGACTTTTTGATGAATGGGATGATGCTCAACTAATGGAGCCACACCAGCCAGGGCCGCATTAAAAATTTTTTTAATTGATTTCAGAGAGGAAGGGAGAGGAAGAAACATCAATAAGAGAATCATTGATTGGCTGTCTGCTGCACACATTCTGACGGGATAGAGCCCACAACCCTGGCATATGCTCTAACCAGGAATTGAACTGTGATATCTTGGTTAATCGGTTGAAGCTCAATCACTGAGCAACACTGGTCTGGCCAGGTCCTCATTCTTAAAAAGGTAAACTTCTTGCCTGTAGGATAAGAAGTTTATCATGGCATACAATGTCTATGATTTAGCTAAACTTCAGCTATACATCATATCTGGCATACATAGCTGTACCACAAGCATACCAGTAACTTCTGATTCCTCAAATGCAGTATGTTCTTTGATGCTTCTGTGCTATTGCACCTGTTGGTATTTTTATGACATTTATTTTCTTTGCAGAGTTAAATGTTTAAGGCCCTACTGCTAGTAAGTTAGGCAAGCCTGGGACTACAAATCTCTGATCCCCAAAGCCTGTCATGCTTCTAGCCACTAGGTATGCTCATTTCCTCCCAGAAAATGTAAAGAATCCCTGGCCTCAACTATTTACTTTTACTCTGGTAATTTTAAGTGTTTTTTTTTTTAAATAGAAAAGTCATTCTCTCACTCTCGTTATACAGACAGAAAGCATGGGTAATTAAATGGCCCTAGGAGATTTTGGTATAAATCTAGGTGGTGGGCCCAAGAGGATGATGGCTGCGGAGGCAACTGGGGGAGAGGATCAAAGCCACGTGCCACCGGGTTTCCGTGGGGAGCCCAGTAGCCAATCCCCATTGTGCTCACGCACTGGCCTTTGGGAGGCCCCTCCCCAGTCTGCTGTGCCCCTGACAACAACCCCTCCGCCCCCTGCCAGCCGAGTGTCCATTGTCCACCAGGAGCTCCAGTGAACTGAAGAGATGTGACTCTCAAATGTAGAAAGACCAGAGTGAAAGCAAAATTGTACATCCCAGTTTCTCTTGAAAATGGACTTCATGGTCCTTATCACAATAGCAGCAGGAGCTATAACCACACTTGCTGTTGCTGTTGTTGTAGCACTGATAGTAGTAAAAATCTTAAAATCTTTGAAGAAGTGGAGGAATAATGACAATACAAGTGCTGAAGATTTTGGTGACACTGTCTATCTCAAGATGGAAACAAGTAGGAAACCGGACAAAGAATCGATCGAGAAGGAACGGAAAGTATCCGGAGAGTTAGTAGAAAAGGAACAGAAAACATCCCCAGAATCGGGTGAGGAGAAACAGGAAACATCTGAACAAGTGGATAAGAAGGGGCAGGAATCACATGGAGAATTGGGCAAGAAGGAACGGGAACCCCATGAAGAACTGAACCGGAAGGATCGGGACAGCCAAATTCCGTAAGTGTAAAACTATGCCTTGGTTCATTTCAGGACCAGACATCATATGGTGATCCCTGAGAGGGACACAGGGCAGGGCCGCACCAGGCTGCTGTCCTGCCTCCTCCAGGGCAGGAGCTGCGGGGAAGCCCTGGCTTGCCAGGTGTAGGGGTGGCTGACACACAGAAGGTCGCTTTCCTGAAAAATGGGTTTTTGGCGGCGGCCAGGGTTAGTGGAGGGGACTGCATCTTTAGAATGGGGCGAAGGAAGTACCATGGAGGGAAAGCTATCAGTGTGCTGGTTTCTTGACCGTTTGGTTTTGGGTATTTCACGTTTCTTGACCGTTTGGTTTTGGATATTTCATGCCCTGGCAAGGAGAAACACACACACACACACACACACACGTCCAGTCACCTTCCACACAAGGCACTTAAGTGAAAAGGCCGCTTTCCCCGCCTGGCGGCTCCCGCGGGCGGGCGAGGCGGCCGCTGCGCTGCACAATGGGTTCGACCTCACAGAGCGAGCCGAGCGCGGCCGGCACGTGGGCCCCTCGGGGCGGCGAGGTGCGGGGCCGCGGTTGGCCCCTGCAAGCCTGGGCCGGTGTGGGTGGCATCCCGCCGCCCTGCCAGGCGTGGCCCCGGTTGCCAACAACAAGCCAGGGCCGCCACAGACGCCGCGGGGCGGGGGCGCCGCTCCCCGGGCCGGCCGCAGCGCTCCCGGCCGCCCGCCGCGCGAGGGCAAGCGAGCCAGCGCCGTGTCCTCCCTCCTCCTCCCCGATCCTCCGGCTCCGCCTTCCCGGCCCCCGCCCTCGGCTGGCTCAGCCTCCTCCATTTTCCAGATCTTTCTCGAACCCGCAGCTCCAAGAGCGGCCGTTGCCCGAGCCCTGCCGGAAGCGGCCGAAGCGGCGGCTCGCGCGTCCCCGGGAGGCCGAGCGCGCATGCGCGGAGCGCGGTAACCGCCGGTTGGAGGCGGCGGCCCGCAGCGCAGAGCGAGCCCGGCGGCGGCGGCGGCCCCCTGCCTCTCCCGGCGGCCCAGCGCTGCCCTCGCTTTAAAGCGCAGCCACTTCGGGTCACCTCTCCTTTGCTTCCCGTAGGCGTCGCAAGCCCGGGAGCCACAGCCCAGCCGAGGACGCAGTCCCTCCCCCGGAGCTTTCGGCACTCGCATCCCGACCTCTCGGCGGCGGGATGTCTGTGGTTGGCATCGACCTCGGCTTCCTCAACTGCTACATCGCGGTGGCGAGGAGCGGCGGCATCGAGACCATCGCCAATGAGTACAGCGACAGGTGCACCCCGTAAGTGCCGCGTCCTGCCCGATCCCCGGCCCCGGCGTCAGGTCCCTCCCGCCCGGTGACTCCCCGGGAGGCGCGCCGAACCCCGGTGACAGGTGCGGCTGACGGGCCGGGCGGCGGCGGCGGCGGCGGCGGCTCCGGGGCTCCAGGGGCTGAGCTCTGAGTGTGCGCGTCTCCGCTCTGTCCCCGCGCCCCGCCTCGTGCCCTGGCGGCCCTGCTGTTTAGTGTGCGGCTAGGGGTTGGGGTGGGGATCCCCTCGATGCCCTGAACATTAGAGAAAAATCTCCCGTTACTTCTTCCTAGTGGGGCTTGGGGGAAATCCCCGGCCGCGGGCTCACCCCCCTACCCCCTCAGCCCTCTGCCAGCCGAGTGACGGACGGATTCTGCATTCATTCTGCCCTTCTCTCCTGCATCATCTCCCTCCCCCCCCCCCTCCCCCCCCCCCCCTCCCCCCCCCCCCCCTCTCTCTTTCGCCAAAAAGTAAGAAATTAGAGCTTAGACTGCGCACATCGGAAGATGAGTTATAGGATCATCTGGCCCAAAAAGCTTTTTCCCCCCCTTTCTTTCTTTTTTTTAATTTTCTTTCTTTCTTTCTTTCTTTTCTTTTCCTTTCTTTTTTCTTTTTTTCTTTTCTTTTTTCTTTCTTTCTTTCTTTTTTTTTAACCAGGTGAGGTGTGCAGGGTTTTACCCCAGTGTCCCTGAGAATTCCAGGTAATGGCCCGGTTTCCAGGGGCGTGTGTATTAACACGAATTAACTAGGAGAGAATTGGGGATGGGAGTCGTTGGCTTCTTGTATGGGTAATGCACATCCTTTAATGGGAAATGATGGCATTAGACTCCATCCAAAGCATATTTCTACAGAATGAATTGTGAGAGTGGGAGGCGGCTGTCCTGTATAAACATGCTTGAGGAGCGATTGTGTTGCGAACACTTGATGAAAGACTTAAAAGAAGTGGCATTATGTCATGGAAACATGCTCCATTGTTTCTCTGGTCTGGGAAGTTTGTTGACGAAAAGTATAATTAAGGCAGGGATATGATAAATTGGCTTCGTGTTGTAGGCTCTTGTTAGCGGTAATTTTATGAGGAAACCAAGTTTCCATGTCTTCTATGGACAAGTAACTAAACATGTTCATTTGACCTTTACCTATGATCCAAAATATAATAAAAATAAGACTAATCTTAACCAGCATCAGTGTTAAGCTAGACTTTAAACGATTAAATTACTGAAATTCTATAAATTTTTAAATGTGTCAAGATATCCAGGAGTAGTTTACTTGAAGCAGTCTGCTTTGGTTTCTTTGAAAAATATTCTAGAAGGTTTTATATAACCTTTTCCAGCTATGCATTATATTTCTATTGAAATTTTGTATTTATATACTCAAATATGAGCTTAGATGAGTTAATCTTCATAGTACTGTTAAAACTCTTCTTTTTACATTTAAAAAATGTTTTCCATACTCTAGTTGTCAAGCTAACACGACACAGGTATTTCTGAGATATAAATATATTATGAAAGGATTCTATGGAAAAGAGGAAAGAAATGCTCCATTCCCTTGGTTCAGCATCCATATAATTTTCACATTTGTTTCATTCTTTAACATATTATTATGTTTAAATGAGAGAATACTGTGTGTAAACCCAGGACAGTTTAATTAAACAAATAATTGCTTAATTTTGGCCTACAATTAAGGGACTGAGGCCAGGTAATTTAACATATTAATTCTTCAGACTTCACCTCTGTAAAGTTGGGAGTGCTTGTACTAGCCTCTAATGTTGTGGATAAATTGAAGAGGGAGAAAGAAATTAATAGCATAAATTAAAATTAGCTTAATTTTTCTGAAAATTTTCTTAAAAAAATAATTATACTAGCAGTACATGTTCATTGTAGAAATGCAGGCACATTAAAAGATGAAATTAATATAACTGTTCCATCCAGAAATAAAACTTGCATGGTTTTTCTTGTGTGTAGCTTAAGAATACTTTATACTACTTTATATTCTGTAACCTCATTCTATCTAAAACATACCTTAACAGTAATTTTAACATTTTTATCATTTCCTTAATTTAATCTATCCCTTATTGGACATTCAATTGTTTATATATTTTTTTATAAACAACTAGAGACCCAGTGCATGAAATTTGTACCCGGATGTGTGTCCCTCAGCCCAGCCTGCACCCTCTCCAAATTGCTGGAGGGACCCCTCAAGCAATTTCCGACTGCCATTTAGGCCCAATCCCAGGAGGGGCAGTCAGACATTCCTCTCACAATCCAGGACTGCTGGCTTCCAACTGCTCCCCTGCCTGCCTTCCTGCTTGCCCCTAATCGCTTTAGCTTCTGCCTGCCCACCCCCTTAACCACTCTTCTGCCAGCCTGATTGATACCTAACTGCTCCCCGGACATCCTGTTTGCCCCTAACTGTCCTCCCCTGCTGGCCTGTTCCCCCCCAGGTGACCTCCCCTGCCAACCCAGTCACCCCTAATTGCCCTCCCCTGCCAGCCTCATCACCCCTAAAAATGCTAAAATTAATGTAAAGATATGTTGGTTACCAAACAAAATATAAAGTAGTATAATCTATTCTTAAACTGCTCTCCTTCTGATCTGGTACTTCCACCAACTTCCTTCCCCTGCAGGCCTGGGTCCCCCCCAAACTGCTCACCTCTGCAGGCCTGGTCACCCCTAACTGCCCTCCCTTGCAGGCCTGGTCCCTCCCAACTGACCTCTCCTGCAGGCCTGGTCCCCCCCAACTGCTCTTCCCTATAAACCTGGGTTTCCCCCACTGCCCTTCCCTGCAGGCCCAGTAGCCCACAACTTTCCTCCTCTGCCAGCCTGGTCACCCCCAACTGTCCTTCCCTGCAGGATTGATCACCCCCAATTGCCCTCCCTTGCAGGCCTGGTCACTACCCCCCATCCCCAACTGCTCTCCCCTGCAGGCCTGGGTCCTTCCCCAACTTCCCTTCCCTGCAGGCCCGGTCACCCCCAACTTCGCTCTCCTGCAGGCCTGCTCACCCCCAACTTTCCTCTCCTGCAGGCCTGAAACCCCCACCCCCCCAACTGCCCTCCCCTCTAGGCCTGGTCTCCCACAACTATTCTCTCCTGCAGGCCTGGGCCTCCCCCAACTGCCCTCCCCTGCAGGCCCAGTTGTCCCCAACTTACTTCCTCTGCCGGCCTGGTCACCCCTAACTGCCCTCCCCTGCTGGCCATCTTGAGGTAGCATCTTATGTTCACATGGGGGCAGGATCTTTGACCATATGGGAGCAGCTATCTTGTGTGTTGGAGTGATGGCTAATCTGCATATTACTCTTTTATCAGATAGGATAGAGGCCTGGTGCACGAGTGGGGGCTGACTAGTTTGCCCTAAAGGGTGTCTTGGATCAGGGTAGGGATTCCCTTGGGATGTGGGGAAGTCTGGGTGAGGGGCCTGTGGTGGTTTTCAGCCTGGCTACGCCCCCCAGCAACCCAAGCATAGTCCAGGGTTGGCTGGAAGCAGGTATCTGGGATTGATTTTATCTTCTGTAATTAAACTTCGTTGCTTTGAGCCAAGGCCAGGGCAAGCCAGGGCAGGCAGGAAGCTTGGCTTTCTCCATCACCGGGGGCAATCCAAGTCTCCTGCTCACTCCAGATCCGTGGTGGCCACCATCTTAGTTGGGTTAATTTGCATACTTGCTCTAATTGGCTGATGGGTGTAGTGGAGTGATGGTCAATTTACATGTTTCTCTTTATTAGTGTAGATGTGGCAATAGCTATCTTTGTAACTAAAATTTTTTTAAGTACCTAATCTTTACTGTGATTTTTATGTGGCAGATACTAAGCTAAGATCCTTCTGTTTTAGAGAGAGGAAGGGAGAAGGATAGATAGAAACCTCTATCAGCTGCGTGACCCATTCACCCTGTTGGGGATCAAGCCTGCAACCTAGGCATATGCCCTTAATGGGAATCTGACCATGATCTCCTGATTCATGTGCTAATGTTCAACCACTGAGCCACACTGGCTAGGCTATAAGTAAATTTTTTACTTTTAATTCCTTCAAATAAATTTCTAGAAATAGAATTAATGTGAGTACATTTGAAAGGCCTTAGATATGTTTGTACTGTTCAATTAAGTATACAAGTGGGGATTGGAATTTCCATTCCAGGCTTAATTATATCAGAGTAATTAGTTTCATGATTTTTTTTTTAATATATATTTTTTATTGATTTTTTACAGAGAGGAAGAGAGAGGGTTAGAGAGTTAGAAACATCGATGAGAGAATCATCAATCAGTTGCCTCTTGCACACCCTCTACTGGGGATGTGCCTGCAATCAAGGTACATGCCCTTGACCTGAATCGAACCTGGTTCCTTTCAGTCCGCAGACCAACTCTATATCCACTGAGTCAAACTGGTTTCGGCCAGAGAAATTAGTTTCAAACGTGGGAAAAGAAAGTGCACCAAAGATCGTCATTCAATATCAGATTAAAGCATGTGGTTAATGTAAACATTCTGCCATGTTGATAATAGTGCTTGCACTATCATACATACCTCACTATTTCTTTTAGTTTGGTATTACTAGCTATCTTTTTTCATTAGAAACCTAAAGCAGAGTTAAGTATCTTGACCAAGAATTAGTAAGCTATTATAAAAGATTCAATTTAGGCCACTTTGATTCCAGAACCCCAATGTGCTTCCATTATCCATTCACATAAGGAGGGTTTATACAAACTAGATTACTGGGGATGTAACGATCAAAGAGATAAATTACCTGGGCAGTTACTGTACAGAGAAACATCTTTGTTCTAATAACAGACTCATCTATATTTGGCTAGTTTCTAAGAAATATCTAGTTTTAAAATGTTTTAATATACTTTTAAGTTATTTTAATATATAAAAATTTAGTTTGTTTAAAAATTCATAAAAACATAATAACACAAAATATGTTAGTTAAACACAAAGGAAAGTGATGTGAAAACTACTACCCTGTTTCCCTGAAAATAAGACAGTCATATATTAATTTTTGCTCCCAAAGATGTGCTAGGTCTTCATTATTTTTCCCTATTTCTTTATCAGTGTGTGAATAACCTGACAATATGGGAAAATACTATTTATACACTACATCTCACATTTTTGGGATATCCTCTTCAATGCACAAAAATAGAAATCACTTACTTTGGGGTATTACAATGTTTTTATACATCAAAAATGACAAACTAGCCCTGGTGAGGATTTTTTTTTTTTTTAAGTAAAAAAAAACCCACAGAAAACAACAAACTAAACAGATTAACAGTGATTATAGTTGGATAGAAGAACTTTATGGTGATACATTTTGGGGGAAGAGGAGGCTTTTACATTTTTTATTAAGTATTCTTTGTATTATATGAATTGCTTTTGTTTGTATATTTTACTATGAGCTTATGCCAATGTTGATATAAAATGCTGAGCCGAGAAGGCATGGCTCAGTGGTTGAGCATTAACAGTTCAATTCCTAGTCAGGGCACATGCCCGGGTTGCGGGTTCCATCCCCAGTGTGGGGTGTGCAGGTCTCACTCCCTCTTCCTTTCTCTCGGAAATCAATAAAAATATATTTAAAAAATAAAAATAAAACAAAGTGCTGAGGAATTACACAAAGTAAATATTCCCCTCTGTCCCTTTACAACCACCTCTTAAACTTAAGTGTGTATGTTCCTAGTTTTATGCAAGTATGTGAGCGTATGTACATAACTGGGATGTTTTTCTATATGTTTCTTAACAAATATAATTACGTAATACACATTTTGCAATTGCTTTTAAAAAAATATATTGTGGACATCTCAAACTTATACATATGGTTCTTAATTTACTTTTTTAATGGTCATAAAGAATAGATAGACCGAAACCGGTTTGGCTCAGTGGATAGAGCGCATTGGCCTTCAGACTCAAGGGTCCCAGGTTTGGTTCTGGTTGTGGGCACATCCCCATTAGGGGGTGTGCAGGAGGCAGCTGATTGATGTTTCTTTCTCATCAATGTTTCTAACTCTCTATCCCTCTCCCTTCCTCTCTGTAAAAAATCAATAAAATATATATTTTTTTGAAAGAATAGATAATAGACACACTGCTGTTAGTGGAAAATTCAAAATATTATTTTTCTGTCGACAAACAAAAATTCAATAAACACCTTTACTTTTTAAAACTCAAATTGTGCTGAGAATGGGTGAAAGGGCAGATGTCTCACACTTTAGCATGCCAAAGCGAGGACTGTAAAAATACTTTATTTTATGATTATTTTGATCCTCACCTGAGGGCATGGTTTTATTGATTTAAGAAAGGAAGGAAGGAAGGAAAAAAGGAAGGAAGGAAGAACCTTTTAGTATGAATATTATCTAAAATAAAACAAATCTTCACTCATTGCTTTGAATTTATGGGTGAGAAATTCTAAAGGGTTTCTAGAAGGCCAGGAATGAGAAATACAAATTACATAATACCTGAGTTTAAGATATTTGAAATGCCATTGGTAGTCTTTGTGGGTATGTGGTTGGTCACTACAGTATAAATTAATGAACATAACCATGTTTTGATAAAACTTTATTTATAAAAGTTAGTGGCAAGTAGTAATTTGCAAAGTGGTTAGAACTTTCAACTTACTGTGTACCATTACTTGTTTTTGAACTGGTAGATTTTAAGTAAGATATCTCTAATAATCTAATAGTTAAATAATATGTCTAATTTAATGCATCTAATTAACTTTTAAAACATTGTCTCTAATTATGTAAATGTTTATGATTTCTGTTAATGGTTTCAAGTTATGAACTAATTTATTTATGAATTATACTTACTAAAAGCATTTGGAAGCTCTTAAATATTTTAAATTTATTTTTATTGATTTCAGAGAGGAAGGAAGAGGGAGAGAGAGATAGAAACATCAATGATGAGAAAGAATCACCAATTCACTGCCTCCTACATGCCCCCTACTGGGGATTAGCCCACAACCTGGGCATGTTCTCCGACCTGGAATTAAACCATGACCTCCTGGTCATAGGTCAGCTCAACACCTGCCAGGCTTAAGTAAAATTTTATTATTTTCATACATTAAAATATTGTATACATTGTCCATACTGAAAGATTGGAACGTTTTTATTATTACTAAATATAGTAATAATTTACTATATTTAGTAATAATAAAGGTTGCTTTATGGACATGTTGGCAATCATAGTTGAAATTGGCAGTGTAAGGAGCTAACCACTTAATTAAAGCAGTTGATTGACCTCTCATATCATTATTAATTGAGCTATTGTATTTCTTAGAGTCTACTCAATGATAGCAGATGAAGCTAAAATAGTAATTGTGATCTTATAGAAACTGGCAAGGGAAGGTCAGAATTTTAAAAATGGGGATATATTAAAAGTGTAAGTCCTAAGTCAAGGCATTTTGAATCCTTAGTTGGGATTAACAGTGAAGCAAAGAAATTTAGAGGGCTGACCTTTTAAGTGAGAAGTCTTTTAGTCTGCTGGCAGTATGTGTTCCCTCCATCCCAATCAGCATGGCCTTATAAAAATAGACTCTATAAGAGAGAGAGAAAGTTAATCTTAAATTTAAAGGTGAAATATAACTTTCTTAAAGTAATATACTGTCATTTGATTTTTATGTCCCTCTTCTACTAAAAGTGACATAGGACATTTAGAAGTTCTGTTTATTTGGTTAGAGTTCTGTGGCATTCTCTGAGAATATGTGACAGCCAATATAGTGACAATATTAGATTGAATATTATGGATTTAAGATGCATTGTAAACACTTTCTTTTTAAACGTATTTCTAAATAGTAGTTAAAATAATCTAAAGTGTAATATATGTGGATTTTATGTTATACAGTTATTTAAATAGTTAATAACCTTTCCTTTAAAAATTTATATCTGCCTAATATGTGATATAAAGTGTCTATTTCACTTGTTATTACTAAAGTTTAGGTAAAAGTTTTAGAGTGAATGGGTATTTATTTAGATTTTTCTGAAAATCCTTGGCAGATACTTATTTAGTGGTTGTGTTATGGGATATTTTTGACGAAATTGAACAAAGAAAGGAGTTTGAAGACCTTTGGCTATATTTTAATTGTTTAGCTTTCTCTGTGAAGTAATATATGTGTGAAGTATATTTCAAAGAATCTAGCACTTAAGAAGTGATAGTTGTTGAATCAATCTTATTAGGATCTAGTGTTCCAAAAGAATTTAAACTCTTGAGAAATCAACCTAAGAATGAGATTCTGTGCACTCAAATAATGGTAGTGAAGTATTGAAAAGTTAAAAATTATTCAGGAGATTACTGTGTTAAGTGAAATAAGCTAGTCAATGAATGACAAATACCATATGATCTCACTTATATGTGGAATCTAATGAACAAAATAAACTGACCAAGGAAAGAGAAACAGAGGCATGGATACATGGAACAGACTGACAGCTGTCAGAGGGGAGGGGAGAGGGGGACCGGAATAAAGAAGGTGAAGAGATTAGTCAAAGAACATAAACGGCGTAACTCATAAACACAGACAACAGTGTGGTGATGCCAGGGGGAGGGTTGAAAGCAGAGAACTTTCATGACCTTAGTCTTTAGGAGAATTTCTCTAGGTATCATATTGAGAATAGACATATACTATATATTGGAAATGTCCTCAGCAAAGCACATTAAAATGCTTTCTCTTTTCTTAAGCCTTTATTCAGAGATCACCTTTACTACTAGCTTTTTCTAAACCTTATTATCTAGATGTAATTCGTCTCATTTTTTCTTGCTACTGTCATTCATAATCATATTCTGATTTTTTTCCAATAGACTACAAATTATTCAAGAGTGATTGTAGCTAGCTAGTATGCACATAATGCCTGTAACTATTTGTTACTTAAATAATTACCTTAGTTACAATGAAAATCATGAAAATACTTTCTTGAATTATTACATTATTGATAATAAAGTTACTCTATACTTGCATTTATAAGCAGAATTATGTATAAATGCAGAAATAAAAACATTAATTGTATTATTCAAAGCATTTACCTATATTCACTTAATTAATACAATCCTATGAGCAGGTGTTACCATTACTACCTCCAGATGAGAAACTGAGGAAATAATGGTTGGTGATTTCCACAAGGTTATTTACTTGTTATGTAGCAGAGCCAGGATTTAGATTCAGTCTGTCCTTACTGAATACAGTATATTTTTCCATTGATTTTTAGAGAGGGTGGAAGGAAGGGAGAGAGGGGAGAGATTGAAAGAGAAACATCATTGTGAAAGAGTCATATCGATTGGTTGCCTCCTGCACTCCCTGGTTGGGGCCGGGAATTGAACATGAAGCCCATGTATGTGCCCTTGACCAGGAATCAAACCCGAAACCCGTAGGGCCAGGGCTCATGCTGGAACCACTGAGTAACATCAATCAGGGTGAATCCAGTTAATTTTATTAGTAGGTCAAAAACCAATAGAGCCGGGACTGGTTTGGCTCAGTGGATAGAGCGTCGGCCTGTGGACTGAAGGGTCCCGGGTTCGATTCTGGGCAAGGGCATGTACCTTGGTTGCGGGCACATCTCCAGTGGGGGGTGTGCAAGAGGCAGCTGATAGATGATTCTCTCTCATCGATGTTTCTAACTCTCTATCCCTCTCTCTTCCTCTCTGTGAAAAATCAATAAAATATATATTTTTTTAAATAGAACTTAAAAAACAATTTTAGAAACCAATGTAGTGTTGCCACCAACAGAACATTTTTTAAAAGTATAACTTTTATTCTAATAACTTTTCCATTTCTTATATGCAAAATTCTGATTTTAGATAATCTCTTTTTAAAATAGTACATGATTACATTAACCCTTTTAATTTATTTTTATATAAGGTGAAGCAGAAGAATAGCACATTGATATAAAAACACCATGGAAAACAAAATTGTGTTTTTCTCCTTTTAGGGCCTGTATATCTTTGGGATCAAGAAATAGAGCCATTGGAAATGCAGCGAAGAGCCAGGTAAATTGTTAATGTAGATGTTTTGATTTATAGAAACAATGAACTGAATCTTGGTAACTAAGCTCCCATTTTATGTAAATTAAGAGTGAAAACAAAGAGTAGGGAAAATATGATAGATACTAAACCTTTGTATCTTATTATATATATTTGCTTTTGTTTATAAAATATTTTAAAATTTTATTTATTAAAAATCTTTAGTTGTGAAATTAGGATGTTCCATCATATAGCATCAATTTTTCACTGGGTAGTCATTTTCTATGGGATATCCTATCTAGAATATACACTTCAACAACAAGTGAGTGATGTCTTGGTAAAAAAAAAATGTAGGAAGAATGGAGGAACTAATTTCCAGAGGAATCAATGTGGCTACCAGTACTTGATATGGAATCTGTTTAAGTCTTCATATTTCTAGGCTTCTGAAAAACTTATGATAACACATTCACTTTTAATATTCCAGGCTACAGGTTCATTGTCTATGGACTTAGTTTATTGCCCTAAACTAAAAGCCCTTAATAGTTTTCTTTTTAAATTTTAATATATACCTAGGTTTTCTTCATTATAAGATAACTTTGTTTATTGGGGCTTTTTCTTTATGACTTTGTAGGAATAATTGCTCATTTATCCAGGAATTTTGCTTATAATTTTTATCAAGTTTGTCTTATAATTGGTCTAGATATGAATATGCTTGTAACTTCTTCTACTTTCATCTATATATATATAAAAGCCTAAGTGACCTTCGAGCCATTCGACTGCTTGACCAGTAGCTATGATGTTAACTGACCACCGGGGGGCATGGAAACATGGAACAGACTGATGAATCTCAGAGGGAAGCGGGGAGGAGGAAGGGTGGGAAGAGATTAACCAAAAATCTTATGTGCATACTGGAGGCCCAGTGCATGGATTTGTGCACTGGTAGGGTCCTTCATCTTGGCCTGTGGGGATCAGATTAAAACCAGCAGTCCAACATCCCCCAAAAGGTCCCGGATTGTAAGAGTGCGCAGTCCAAGCTCAGGACTCCACCAGTGCACAAATCTGTGTACCGAGCCTCTAGTTTGTACATAAATGTTGAGTTGATTCCAAAATGCCCCCTTCACTAAAGTTTACATCTCATTTTCTGGCTAATCTTCTCAGTGTATCATAGATATCAAAGTCTCTAAAGAAAGTTATTGCTCCTAAAGAGCTAAAGACCAACATGGTAATTCAAGATTCCTGCAGTTTTCATCTCATAATTGAAGATCAACATCTTTTTGGCTTTTCAAGGTCACTAAGAGGGTACAAATAGATCTCAGTAATATTCTATTGTTAGAACTATGTGTTCTAGTTAAAGAAAAATTTGCTTTATCAAAGTACAAGCCATTTACTAATTAGCACTTCAATTAGTAGCACCATGCTTTATGGAAAGAGTTTTAATTTACAAGCCTAGGAGCAATTCCTTGCAATGGAAGCAACATAGTAGTACATGAGAAATGTCATAAAGAATTACATATTCAGCCGAAACTGGTTTGGCTCAGTGGATAGAATGTCAGCCTGTTCAATTCCGGTCAAGGGCATGTACCTCGGTTGCGGGCACATCTCCAGTAGGGGGTGTGCAGGAGGCAGCTGATCGATGTTTCTAACTTCCTGTCTCTTTCCCTTCCTCTCTGTAAAAAAATCGATAAAATATATATATTTTTTAAAAAGAATTACATATGCAGAGGAAAAGAAAGATCAGACAATAAAAAACATATTAAATAAAAACAAATGAAAGTGGAAAGAAATAAGAGAAATCAAAGATGCTAATTTCCTTGAGCAGCAATTTCAACCTTTTTCATCTCATGGCACACATAAGCTAAAATTCTGTGGGACACCAAAAAAATTTTTTTTGCCAATCTGACAAAAAAAAAGATATAATTTCGATTTATTTACAAAAATAATAATAGTGATTACCTACCCTATTGTTCCAAAGTGACTTTTTTAAAAAATACTCCGGTGCCTATACTTGTATATAAGGAGTTCTAGTACCAAGAATTAACAATCAGACACAATTAGATGCAACTCTATTATATAACCTATGTATTTATGGTTCAAGACAAGGCATTCACATTTGATTGCTACTGTCATGTTTGCTGTTGTCATTTTTTATTTGACAATCTAAGGGAAAAGGAGATCAGTGCCCCTGACTAAATTAGCAGGTACTTCATTTTTTTAAAATTCTTGTGGCAAGCCACTTGAAAATCACTGTAGTAGAGCAAAAGTGTTGAGGAAAACCAGACACAGGTTGTAGATCAGTTTTATTATTTGAAAAATATTTAAATTTTATTCTTTCTTTTTTGAAGACAGTGATTTTATATCTAACTTTCCTTGGAAAGGAGGAATATTGGGGGTGGGGGTGGGAAATAGTTTACATGCATATGTTCTCATTGTATAATTTTACTATTAGTAGGAAACCAGAAAAATGAATGTGTGTAATTCTGCACTTGGATGTGTAGGATAGAGACTTAGTGGTTCTCAGGTATTAGCATAGTGTTTTATGTTGCATTTATTAAGTAACAGATAAAGTGTTTACTGCCAACAGATAGTCACAAATGTAAGAAATACAATTCATGGCTTCAAAAAGCTTCATGGACGATCATTTGATGATCCTATTGTGCAAACTGAAAGGATCAGGATTCCCTATGAGCTTCAGAAAATGCCTAATGGAAGTGCAGGAATTAAGGTAAGTTTATATTCCTGAAATACAAACATATTTGAATTAAAGAAACCAAATACCATATTTTTCTTCTTTATTGTTAGCTAGGAAGTTGAATGATAGAAATTGCTTTTTGTGGGAGGTAAGGGATATGTAACAGGTAAAGACACTTTTGCAACTAATTTGTTTGTAACAATATGTTTGGCATTGAAACTTCAGAACTAACAGATTATGACACTAGAACAGTCTTCTTGGAATATAACTTCCTTGAGCAAGGACTTTGCCTTTTTCAATGTTGTATATCCAACATGTATAGTGGAGATTTTTAAAGAATATTTATTGGATGAATAAATGACTCAATAAAAATCTCTCAACTTTTGGTTTCAGGTGCGGTACCTAGAAGAAGAGAGACCTTTTGCTATTGAGCAAGTTACTGGAATGCTGTTGGCTAAGCTTAAAGAGACTTCAGAAAATGCTTTAAAGAAACCAGTAGCTGACTGTGTGATATCAGTAAGTTTTACTTCAGTAATGAGTACTCTTGAATCCTATTTTCCAGTGTCCTATAGTCCTTCCTTATCCATGGGGGTTAAGTTCCAAGACCTAGTGGATGCCTCAAACCATAATACCAAACCTATATCTGTACTATGATTTTTTGTATGCATACATACCTTTTCACTTAAAGAAAGGAAGCACTTTACAGTCTCTCTTTGGCATATTCTAATTACCAGCATCACTACTCTTGCACTTTGGGGCCATTATGAGTAAAAAAGGGTGAGTTGAACACAAGCATTGTGGTACCACAACAGTCAATATGATAACCGAGGAGGCCATTACATAGGCCCCTGGGCAGAGAATGCATACAGCATGGATACTTGGGACAAAGTGATGAGTCACCAGGCAGGACAGAGCAGGATAATACTAGATTTCATCACACTACTCAGAAGAGCATACAATTTAAAACTTATGAATTATTTATTTCTGGTATTTTCCATTTAGTATTGTCAGAACTTGGTTGACCATGGATAATTGAAACCCTGGAAAGCAAAACTGTGAATAAGGGAAGCATCCTGTATTGTTATATTTAATGATTTTCTTCCTTTCTTTATTGTTTCTGCCCTTATCCAGTAATAAACTAAATCCAGTTTTACTTTTTTGTTGTTAATCCTCACCGAAGGATATTCTTCCATTAATTTTTATTTTATTTTATAGAGAGTGGAAGGGAGAGGGCAAAGCACAAAGAGGAAAATGTTGATGTGAGAGAGACAAATCGATGGGTTGCCTCCCATATGAGCCCTGTCTAGGGCCAGGGATCAAGCTTGTAACCAAGTTACATGCCATTGAATGGAAGCGAACCCAGGACCCTTCAGTCCACAGGCCAATCGCTCTAGCCACCGAGCCAAACTGGCTTGGGCTCCATTTTTACTTATAGATTAAAAAGAAATTACCTTGCCGGGACCGTTTTGGCTCAATGGATAGAGCGTCTGCTTGGGGACTGAAGGGTCCCGGGTTCGATTCCGGTCAAGGGCATGTACCTTGGTTGCGGGCATATCCCCAGTAGGGGGTGTGCAAGAGGCAGCTGATTGATGACTCTCTCTCATCGATGTTTCTAACTCTCTATCTCTCTCCCTTCCTCTCTGTACAAAATCAATAAAATATATTAAAAAAAAAGAAAAAAAAAGTAATTACCTTATTTGGTAAAGTTCAGGAGAGAGGTTTCCAAAAGTCATTTATGATAATCAATGAATCTTTTAAAAAATACAACTAATGTATGTGATTAGTGGCTTCTGTAAATGCCACTTCTCCCTAAGAATCTTTCCAGGGAGCACTGACTTTCCTACCTCTAGGGACTTGAACATTGTATCTCAAAGGTTGAAAACTCCCACATGGGCCTTTTAGAGTGTGAATATTCTGTATCAGAAAGAAGAGGTTTTAATTTTAATGATAAATTGGGTATATTTAATATGTATACTTTCTAAAGTTTTGACATATGCATATACCTATAAAATCATTATCACTATAATAAACATATTCCCTTGTGCGTTTTTAAAGATAAAACTTGTTGGTTTTATAAGCTATACAATGTGATGCTTTCATATCATAGTGAAATGATTAGTGCTATCAAGCTAATTAAAATTAACATATCCACCTCCTCATATGGTTACCTTTTTTTAATTTATTTTTTTTTGTCTGTGTGATGAAAGTACCTGACCTACTTTCTTACACAATTTCCATGATACCATATTATAAACTACAGAGCCCATGTTGTATATTAGATGAACTAATATATTTTTTCATAGGCCAAACCAACATAAGAAGGATTTAGACTAACATATTTTGGAAGTCCTGCAGTATTATTCCATTTGTTGCTTTACAATTGTTTGTACTTTAGGTCACCATTTTATGATATAAAATAGCCAAACTTAAAAACAAAAACAAAAACAAACAAAAAACAGCCGAAACTGGTTTGGCTCAGTGGATAGAGCGTCAGTCTGTGGACTGAAGGGTCCCAGGTTGATTCCGGTCGAGGGCATGTACATTGGTTGTGGGCTTATCCCTGGTGGGGGTTGTGCAGGAGGCAGCTGATAGATGTTTCTCTCTCATTGATGTTACTAACTCTCTATCCCTCTCCCTTCCTCTCTGTAAAAAAATCAATAAAATATATATTTTTAAAAACCCACAAAAACAAAAAAAACAATGCCTTGGGTCTCTCATAGTTCCCCATGCCACAGCAAACTGTGACCTTGAACCATAGCCTGCAGGCACTGAAGCAGGTTACACAGTGGGTTGGGGGATGGAGGGCAGTGGAAGAGTATGTTTTCTCATTTCTTTCTTTCCTTAAATATATTTTGTTGATTTTTTTACAGAGAGGAAGAGAGAGGGATAGAGTTAGAAACATCAATGAAAGAGAATCATTGATCAGTTGCCTCTTGCACACCCCCTAGTGGGGATGTGCCCGCAACCAAGGTACATGCCCTTGCTCGGAATCGAACCTGGGACCCTTTAGTCCGCAAGCCTACGCTCTATCCACTGAGCCAAACCGGTTTTGGCATGTTTTCTCATTTATTTTATTAGAACACCATTCTTTGCCTTAAGCTGTACACAAGTTTTAGTGTAATTAATTTACATTTTTCAGCTAATGAAATGTTAAAGTAAAACATACTATATAAATTTTATATACTTGTTGTTTCTAAATATCAGATTCCCAGCTTTTTCACTGATGCTGAGAGAAGATCTGTGATGGCTGCAGCCCAGGTTGCAGGTTTAAATTGTTTAAGATTGATGAATGAAACTACTGCAGGTGAGCACTTCGCTGTTTGAAATTACATAAAAAAATACTGTTACTTTTTAAAAACTTATGTACTGATTCTTGAAAGCTTTTCATTTTGGAGTATAAAAGTTTGGCATGTTTTACATTGGCTATAAGAATCATTAATCTTCAAGAGTTATAAATGAGTACAGAAAAAAATAAAATTAAAAATATTAATTAAGCAAATTATGAAGTTAATTTGAAATTAATAATTTGTATTACCCTACTGTGTATTAAAGTGTGTAGTATCAAAGTGATTTATCTGTTTCCATATGACTGCTATACTGAAATTAACCTAATTCTTTGTTCTTACACAGTTGCACTAGCATATGGAATTTATAAACAGGATCTTCCTCTGTTAGATGAGAAACCAAGAAATGTAGTATTTATTGATATGGGACATTCTGCCTACCAAGTCTCACTTTGTGCTTTTAACAAAGGAAAACTTAAAGTAAGTAAATAAGTGATTTGCAATATTTAGCTTTAATGGTTCAGAGCATTTAAGACCATATAGAGAAGCTTATGTCTGGATTTAAAAATCTATGAAAACTGTGAACTTGAGCAAGGTACGTAACCTCTCTAAACCCTAGGTTTCTCACCTGGGGGTACTATTCTGAGGACAAAAGGAGTTGACATATACAAAGTGTGTGGAATGCCCCATTGTAGATACTATAATATTCATTAGTTATTTGTATTATTGTTGAGGTATTACATTAGCTATCAAATAATTTTACGTATTTATCTATAAATATACATAAGGAAACATTTTAAAAAATGATTCCATTGTTTTTGGAAACCTCTGTATCCAGGAATCCTAATCAAAATTTTCTACAATGTGGCATTATTTATTTGCATGTGCTTATTTTCTTATAATCTATATTTGGTTTTATATTTATTTTTACATCGGTTATCTTATCCAGACTTACACATTCTCTCCATTATGGACATGTATAGAATTGACTAGAAGATGAAATGCTTTGGGTTATCCAACATCTTTTAGAGCCTTTTGTCATATATATATATATATATATATATATATATATATATACACATATACATATATATGTGCGTGTGTGTGTATGTGTATATATATATATATGTATATATATATATATATATCTCTAATATGCTAAGTGTCTAACTGTCCAACCAGTCACTATGACACGCACTGACCACCAGGGGACACATGCTCAACAGAGGAGCTGCTGTGATGCACACTGGCCATTTACAGAGAAATGGCACCACAGAGCTGGCGCCCACAAAACAACACTCGGCTTCTCCCAAGTGGAACATAGGCCCCACCACCATCCCAGTGACAGCCCACCAAATCGCAGCCAACGCTGCTGCCGAGACCCCATAGTGCAAAATGTGGTTCACAGCCCAGCCCAGCCCAGCCTGGAAATGGTGGCTGTGGGCACCAGATAATGACATCATGTAGCAACGCCTGGCTTCCTCTCCCAAGTTATGATTAGCCTTCTTGCAGTTTTTTCAGCCCAGGAACACAACTTGCTTTATAGCCAGGTGCAAACATTTCACACTTTAACCAAATGTCTGTGAAGCGTTTTCCTGTGCCTCATCTCGTTTGATCCTCACAGTAGACAGGAGACTAAGTCAAATCCTTTTTTCTTTTCATTAGCCAGAAAATAGGTTTAGAAAGTTTAGAAACTTGACCTGACTGAAAAGAAGTAAGAAATGGTGGAATTGAAAATGACTTCAGGTTTTCTCACTGCACAGAATATAGTCAAACACTGCTCCAGTTAAATATTTACCCTTTGTTCTCCCTGTGTGGTCTACAATAATAATTTTCTTCGTGTTGACATTTACTGCTGTGTTGCTGTTGACAGTTACCTGAAAGAGAAGTTGGGGTGCTTCACTGGGCTAGAAAAAGTTTAGCTAAATCAGAAAGCAGGTCTAATTAAGCAAGTTTATCAATATACTAGAGGCCCTGTACACAAAATGCATGAACGGGATGGGGGGAGTTCCTCAGCCCAGCCTACACCCTCTCCATTCTGGGACCCTGTAGGGATTCGGTCCACACCAGCAGTTGGAAATCCCTCTTCCAATCTGGCTCCTAACTGCCTCTTCCTGCCAGCCTGATAGCCCCCTAACCACTCCGCTGCCAGCCTGATTGACATCTAACTGCTCCCCTGCCGACCCAATCACCCCCAACAGCCCTCCCCTGCCAACCCAGTAGCCCCCAACTGCCCTTCCCTGCAGGTCTATTCCTCACCTGCCAGTTTGGTCACCCCCCAACTGCCTTCCCCTGTTTTCCTGTTTCCCCCCAACTGCCCTCCTCTGTTGGCCTGATCTTCCATAACTGCCCTTCTCTGCCAACCATCTTGTGGCAGCCATCTGGTGATGGATTGTGAGGTGGCCATCTTTTGATGGCATGATGGCCACCTAGGCTTTTATTAGTATCCTACCTAATAAAAGTGTAATATGCAAATTAACCACTCTGCTCCACAAGTCATGCCCACCAGCCAATCAGAGCAAGTATGCAAATAAACCCAACCAAGATAGCTACAGCCACAGAGAGCAGGAGGGAGGCGTTTCCCCAGCAATGGAGGAAAATGAAGGATGCCAAGCTTTCCACCTGCCCTTGCCAGCCTAAGCCTCCACTCAAGGCTACAAAGTTTCAATTATAGCAGGTATACAAATCCAAACAGAAATGGCTGCTGCCACTGAGCAAGCAGGAGGCTTGGCTCTACTCCAGGCTACAAAGTTTCGATTGTAGAAAGTAAATATATCCCATATACCAGGGCCTCCACTTGGGTCGCTGGGGGGCATGGCTGGCCTCCGCTTGGGTCACTGGGGGGCATGGCTGGCCTTCAAACCACCACAGTCCCCTCACTTAGGCTGCCCCATGCCCCAAGGGAGCCCCCACCCTGACCCGGAATACCCTTCAGAGCAAACCAGCTGGCCCGCACCCATGCACCAGGCCTCTATCCTATCTAATAAAAGAGTAATATGCAGATTGACCATTACTCCAACACACAATATGGCTGCCCCCATGTAGTCAAAGATCTGGCCCCTATGTGGACACAAGTTGACCAACAGAAGAGGGTAGTTGTGAGGGACCAGGCCTGCAAGGGAGGGCAGTTGTGGGTGATCAGGCAAGTAGGGGAGGGCAGTTGGGAGGCACCAGGCCTGCAAGGGAGGGCAGTTAAAGGCAATGAACCCTGCAGAGAAAGGGCAGTTAAGGGTGACCAGGCCGGCAAAGGAGGGAAGTTGGGGTAAACAGGCTGGCAGGGGAGCAGTTAGACATCAATCAGGCTGGCATGGGAGTGGTTAGGGGGTGATCAGGCTGCCAGGCAGAAGTGGTTAGGAGCAAGCAGGAAGGCAGGCAGGGGATCAGTTGGAAGCCAGCAGTCCTGGATTGTGAGAGGGATCCCAGATTGGAAAGGGTACAGGCTGGGCTGAAGGACAACGCTCCACACCCCTGACCCCATGCACAAATTATGTGCACCAGGCCTCTAGTAGATATATAAAGCTCTCACTGTCACCATATACATGCGTGTTTTGATCTGTCATTGTCATTTATGAATTTGGTTGACACTTCTATCATAGAGAAAGGGCAAATAGCGATATTTCTTCTAATTAATTTCCTTTCAATGTGCATGAATTTGTGCATGGGGCCACTAATAGTTTATATGACTCTTAACACCTCCTTGTAATCAGAAAATTAGATGGAGATGACTCACACTGAATGTAGGGTAGTTTTCTGTAAATGGTTTCATTCTTGGTAGTTAATCTTGAATTTTTACTTAAGGAAAAGTAAATTAAAAATTTCTTTCCTTTTTAATACTTAGAGTAGTAATCATAGAACTAAGTAAATACTTAGAGTAGTGATCATAGAACTCTTTGAACATTTGATAAAATCTATTCTCTCCAAAAGAATGTACATTTGTACAAGCCACATACTACTGTAATACAATTTTGCATGTTACTGGGCCATGTAAGAAGTCTGTGCATGGATTCCCCATGTTAGTCTATGGGAGAACATCCCAGTCAGATTATGCCCACTTCGTACTGTCATGTTTACCACTATTCTACCACTCATCCTTGTGGGAGAAAAAAGCTGCCGAAAAATACAAACAGTGGGACTCTGTATATTAGTAGTTACTTTGTAAGTAGGCATTTCTGCCCTCTACAATGGTGAGAGAAACTACATATCTTGGTCCTATGACTTCCAAGAGCTCTAGAGTTGAAGTTCTGTGACTTGTCTATTCTTGTTCCACCTGATTACTAGCTGGGGCTTATTGGTCAGCATGTTTACCATGTCAAATTCTTGTCTTTTTTTTTTTTTAAGTTGTCTCTTTTTTAAAAATATATATTTTATTGATTTTTTTACAGAGAGGAGGAGAGAGGGATAGAGAGTTAGAAACATCGATGAGAGAGAATCATCAATCAGCTGCCTCTTGCACACCCCCTACTGGGTATGTGCCTGCAACCAAGGTATATGCCCTTGACTGGAATCGAACCCAGGACCTCTCAGTCTACAGGCCGACGCTCTATCTACTGAGCCAAGCTGATTTTGCCTCTTGTCATTCTTCTTCATACTTTTCGGTGTTCTTTTTTTTTCTCATGTATTCTTTTGTTTTTCTGTATTTTTATAAAAATAGACTTGTTTTTTGTTTTTGTTTTTTAATAAATTTAAGTTCTACTCCCTGAACTATACATTGACCAATTATATTATTTTAGGGTTTAATCTTTGGATCAGCTTTGCTTAGCTACTTTATTTTTGGTTATGTATTTATGATTATTTGTTCTGTTAAACTTAGTTTTTGGCCTGCCTATTCAGTGCTGTTATAGAATAAAAAAGTGTGTAATGGTAAAGTTTTAGTTGTTGTAACTCAGTTATTTCAGAATTAGTTATTAAAAATATTTTTATGGACTTCAGAGAGGAAGGGAGAGGGAGAAAGAGAGAAAAACATTAATGATAAGAGAGAATCATTGATCGACTGCTTCCTGCACATCCTATACTGGGATTTTAGCCCACAACCCAAGCATGTGCCCTGACCAGGAATCAAACCATGACCTCCTGGTTCATAGGTCATTGCTCATCCATTGAGCCATACTGGCCAGGCTAGAGTTACGGTATTCTTAAATTATGATATGTTGATATGTAACCTAAAGCAGATAATTCAGAGTGAGTACATATTCTGGCTAAATATAATTGATATAAGGACTTCAAATTTGGTACCCCAGTGGGTTTTGACAAGTTTTTTGGGTTTGATTTTATTTTAATTTTAAAAGGGTATTTTTGTTTGTTTGTTTGAAAATATATTTCTTAAAATTCCATTCTGGTTTTTCAATTAAACAGGTGTTGGCTACTACCTTTGATCCATATTTGGGTGGCAGGAACTTTGATGAGGCTTTAGTAGACTACTTCTGTGATGAGTTCAAGACCAAATATAAGATAAATGTGAAAGAAAATGCTCGAGCCTTGTTGCGTTTATATCAGGAATGTGAAAAATTAAAGAAGCTAATGAGTGCAAATGCGTCAGATCTTCCACTGAACATCGAGTGTTTGATGAATGATCTTGATGTTTCTAGTAAAATGAACAGGTACCATGTATGTTTTCAGTTGGGAAAGTGTTTGCTTATTTTATAATGTTTAGATTCTGTTATTTTAGAATATATGCTTGATTTTTAGGTTTCAAATAGTGAATTTTATTTCATTTTTCCACAGGGCTCAATTTGAACAATTATGTGTTTCCCTCTTTGCCAGAGTTGAACCACCATTAAAAGCAGTACTGGAACAAGCTAGTAAGTGGAGATTATTGGACTTACCATGGAAACTGTAGCATGGTATTATTCATTTGAATGGTATAGGACAGCTATTTTTAGTCAGTATCCTGCAAGAATTTTTAAAACATATAATACCTGACTATTTAATCAGGGACAATAACACTTATTTCCCTTAGATTATCAAATAAAAAAATGACAACAGCCAGCACAATAATAACTATCCACTGTGAATGAATCAAAATTTTACCTATTTTTTTTTGTGAGATAGGCAAAAAATATAATTTTGGTGTGCCACAGAATTTTAGTAATTGGTTTATATATGCTATGAGAGGAAAACAGTTGAAAATCTCTGGTGTTGGAAATGGTAAAACTATAAACCTTCATCTTTTTTTGAATATTTGTATTCCTCATTTCAGAGGAGGAGATTATGACTCTTTATTGATAAAAATAAGATAGTAGAAATCTGGGTTTTTGAGAACTTATCCTGGTTCATTTTATTATTTATATCATACAACTAATGCTAGTAAAAACTAAGGTATTTAGAAGACTTCTAAAATGAAAGTAGAAATGGGACCCTAGCTGGTTTTTCTCAGTGATTAGATCAATGGCCTGTAGATTGAAGGGTCTGATTCCAAACAAGGACACGTAACTCAGTTGCAGACTCGAAATCCTTGGTTCTGGTCTCCCCAGTTCTAGTCGGGGCACATGCAGGAGGCAAGTAAGCTATGTGTCTCTCACATCAATGTTTCCTTTTCTCTCTACCTCTGCTCCCTTCCTTCCACTCTCTCTAAACATCAGTAGAAAAATATCCTCAGGTGAGGATTAAATTTAAAAAAAAAGTAGAAATGGAAATATGCTTGCTTGTTGTTAAAGTTTTTGATAATAATTAAAAGTATCTTCTGTGGGAAAAAATTCTAATTAAAAACTGTTCCCAAGGAAAGAAGTGTATTTTGCCCTTTAAAAAAATTGTTTTTGTTTGGATTCTGGAAGTGAAAGATAAAACATGGAAAGACTCTGGAGAGTCCTTTAAAGCCCATGAGACCTAACTGTTTTGGCTCAGTGGATAGAGCATCGGCCCTCGAACTGAAAGGTCCCAGGTTTGATTCCGGTTAAGGGCATATGCCAGGTTGTGGACTCAATCCTCAGTAGGGGGTATGAAAGAGGCAGCCACTCAGTCATTGATATTTCTCTGAAATGAGTAAAAACATATTAAAAATAAGTAAATAAATAAAGTCCATGAGGTACTTGTTCTTATTGTCACTCTGTCACCAAGTGCAGTGCCTGACACATAGGTAGTACTTATTAAATTTCACCTTTTAATTGCCCATCTTCTTTCCTTTTATTCTTGTTTTGAGCAAATGAAATATTCACTTTTTCATAAAGTACTTTCCAAGGTCTGCTTTCTACATTGTTACAAAGATTACCTTATTTTTCTCAATTAAAAACATTTTGCTTTCCAGACTTACAGCGTGAAGACATAAGTAGTATAGAAATTGTAGGAGGAGCAACTCGAATTCCTGCAGTAAAGGAACAAATCACGAAATTCTTCCTTAAAGACATAAGTACCACATTAAATGCTGATGAAGCTGTTGCAAGAGGATGTGCATTACAGGTATGATTAATATTAGTTGTATTTTGGAATGTGTATTTTTCCAGAAATATGGTGATAGACCTGAAAGGAGTTTAAATATTATCTAGTCTAACCAATTGTCAATAGGCTAAAAGTAAATTGAAATTATTCCTGAAAAGTAAGTCTTATGTCTTTCCTATTTTTTATTTCTGTTAAGTATATTTTTATTGATTTCAGAAAAGAAGGGAGATGGAGAGAGAAATAGAAACATCAATGATGAGAGAGAATCATTGATTGGTTGCCTCTTGCAGGCCCTTTACCAGAAATCAAGCCTGCAACCTGGGTATGTGTCCTGACCAGAATTGAACCTTGACCTCCTGGTTCAGAGGTCGATACTCAACAACTGAGCCACACTAGCCAAGCTACTTATAATTTTACACTATCATAAAACAGTATGTCTATAACTTTTATTTTATGAATCCATATAATTATTCCCATTAAAAATTCTTTTTGAGGGTTTTAAAATATTTTTGTATTAATTTGTTAAGGTCACAGAAAAAGTACTCTGACACTTTTATTAAAAAAATATATTTTATTGATTTCAGAGAGGAAGAGAGAGGGAGAAAATCATGGAACAGTTGCCTTCTGCATGCCCTACTGGATTGAGCTTGCAACCCAGAAGGTTCCATGATTGGAAATCAAATTGTGATCTTCCTGATTCAAACACTTAGCACTGAATCACACCAGCTGGGCAAAACTTTTAACTTTTAACTAGTTGTACCATTAAACAGTAATTTTAAAATGTAACAGTTTTATTGCAAGGACTTTATTAAGCAGTTTAATCAAGGGTGATCTAGTGTGTGCTTTGTGTTTGTTGATTTAAATATAATGTACATTTTATTGGCAGTGTGCGATTCTCTCACCAGCATTTAAAGTGCGTGAGTTTTCCATAACGGACATTGTTCCCTACTCAATCACATTACGATGGAAGACCTCTTTTGAAGATGGAACTGGGTCTGGGTAAGTTACTTTTTAATATGTTTGTGTTTTTTATTGAAGAGAGAGGGAATTGGAGAGAGAGAGTGAGAGAGAGAAAGAAACAAACATTGATGAGAAAACAAACCATAGATCAGCTGCCTTTGGTACACCATCTACTGGTAATAGAGCCTGAAACTCCAGGAATGTGAACAGGAATCAAACCAGCAACCTTTTGGTTGTGAAGCAAAAAACACCCAATCAGATGAGCGAAAAGAAAAAAATAATCTAAAAATACGATAGTATAAAGAGCCTCTGGGACAATTTCAAATGTACCAACATTCAAATTATTGGGGGGCCAGAAAGAGAAGAGAGAGAGCAAGATATTGAAAACCTATTTGAAGAAATAATGACAGAAAACTTCCCCTACTCATGAAAGTAATCGACTTACAGTCCAGGAAGCACAGAAGCCCCCAAAGGAACCCAAGGAGGCCCACACCAAGACACATTATTGTTAAAATACCTAAGGATCAAGACAAAGAGATAATCTTAAAAACAGTAAGGGAAAACAAGTTAGTAAGAAGAAAGATAATAAATATGAACAATATAAAATAGCAATAAATATGTGTCAGCAATTGAATCTAAAAATCAAAATAAATAAAGAGTCTAATAAACAGAATAAATTGATTAATAAAATAGAACCAGAGTCATGGAAACATAGAGCAGATTGACAAATCTCAGAGGGAAAGAGGAGGGGCAGGAAGAGATTAACCAAAGTACTTATATGCATACTAGTGACTTGGTGCACGGATTCATGTACATTGAAAGGACATCATTAATTAGGAGATGGCCGGCAGGGTGGGACTGGACCAGATGGGCCGGACATGCCCTGGAGCCAATCTCCTGCAGTTCTTCCTTGGCTGGCTGCACCTGGGCGGCACCATGGCTTAAAGACAGTCTGTGGAGTGAGCAGGGTTCCTCCAGCAGGTGGAGTGTCTCGGCCTGGCCTGCAGGAATCGGGCTGAAATGGGCTCTCTGACATCCCCTGAGGGGTCCTGGAGTGCGAGAGGGCACTCCGCAAAGTTGCTGTCATACAGGGTGTGGAACGCAGATGCAAGTGTGCAGTAAACCAGATTCAGGGCCAACAGTATCCCAGCAACAACATAACCAATGGCTGAAGGTGGAATTGAGCACCCCACAAGGTATCAGGATTGTTCCTCTATGCGTAGGGGTGTCGAACTCAATCAGAGAAGGGGCCAAAATCTAAAATCCAGCCTAAATCGAGGGCCGAATGGTTTACTGAACAATCATAAACTGTCATTGTGATGGAAACGCAGCGGAGTGCAGTGATGACAGCGCGGTGCGGGCCACATTGCAAGGCCGGGTGGGACGGATTTGGCCCGCGGGCCTTGTGTTTGACACATGTGCCTATGGTTTTGGGGTGCATCACCCAAGAACAGTCACTGCCAAGTCACCGCAGTTTGGCAGCTCCTGCATTGAGTGTCTGCCCCATGGTGGTCAGTGTGCTTCATACCTACTGGCTGGTCAGACAGTTGGACGGTTGCTTAACCATATATGTGTGTGTGTGTGTGTGTGTATACACACATTACCTATGGACACAGACAATAGGGTGTTGAAGACTTGGCTTGGGGCTGGAACCATGTGGAGGAGGGCAATGGGGAAATAAAAGAGTATATCTGTAATACTCTCAACAATAAAGATTTAAAAAATATATATATGCAAAGTTAAATTTTAAAGTAAATATATTTTAGTAACTATAATAAGAAAATAGAAGGTAGTGGGTTCTTGAATACTAGGATAGGGAATTGGCCCATGAATATGAAAATTTTAAACCTTGCCTACTTCATAGGATGATACTATGTATTGAAGAATGTGTTTCTGGCCCTATGCCTTTTGGTTCCGTGAATGGAGCATCAGCCTGTGGACTGAAGGGTCCTGGGTTTGATTCTGGTCAGGGTCATGTGCCCGAATTGTGGGCTCAGTCCCCAGTGGGGTCATGCAGGAGGCAACCAATTAATGACTCTCTCCCATCATTGATGTTTCTATCTCTCCCTCTTCCTCTTTGAAATCAATAAAAATACATATTTTTTTAAAAAGAATATGTTTCTGGAACACTGTAAACAACAGTTATAAAACTGTTACACTACTTAATGAAAAGGAATTGCTTTGTAGGTTTTTAAAATTGCCTGTACTGGAAATAAGAAAATATTACAAACAGCATTATTACATCAATTTTAAAAATTGAAATATGAATTACATATTAAAGTATTGATGTAAATTTATAAAGTTGACAGTTGTACTGTTGTTATATTAGAGAATATCCCTATTAGGAAATACACATTGAAGCACTTAAGGTAAATGGCTATAAATGTATATAATAGGCTATATTGTTTCAGAAAAAAATATACACATACATTGACAGTGTGTATACACTCAAATTATGAAACAAATGGGGTTAAAATGTTAATAGTAATAAATCTAGGTAAAAAAAAATATATATAGGTGTTTATTCTTAAACAATTCTGTAAGTTTGAAATTTTTTTCAAATGTTCCTTTTTAAAGAAGCTAGAATAAAAAAGTTCCACTTGGTAAGTATTTTGGGAACTAATGGGTAGGATTTGGTCCTCAGATGTAAGTAAAAGACAACAACAAAAAGATAATCTCTCTATATTAGCCTTAACATATACCTATTCTCAGGGGAACTTTTTTAAATTTTAGTGGCACTAGTATGATGACAGACATTCTAAAATCTTTGAGCCATAAGCCGATCAAATCCAGGTTAATAATACAAACAACTTATTCTTCTATACTTTGTGCATGGAAAGAGGCCTTTATAATTGCTATTTATGAATTAAAAATGAGGTGAATTCTCTAATTATTTTCATAGGCAACCTTCTATTTGTTTTAAACTGTATGTTTTCTCACTCCATGTTAGGGAATGTGAAGTATTCTGTAAGAACCATCCTGCTCCATTCTCAAAGGTCATTACTTTCCACAAGAAGGAACCATTTGTGCTAGAAGCGTTTTATACTAATTTACATGAAGTGCCTTATCCTGATCCAAGAATTGGTAAGAGAAAGTTTTCATGAATTTTTTATTTTTGTAAATAACATATTAATGTTTGAATTAAGGGAACAAATAAGTTGATAGTTAAGCTAAGCCAGTGCTGGATTTTAAAAGAAAGATTTCCATACCTTTATCTAAACATGTACTTTGTTAGCGCACAGAGTTGGTTTCTGAAATAACAGCAAAGTTTGAATTTTTTAAATTTATTTTGACATCCATCTCACTCTCTCTCTCTCTCCCTCTCTCTCTCTCTCTCTCTCTCTCTCTCTCTCTCTCTCTCTCTCTACCTCTACCTCTACCTCTACCTCTACCTCTACCTCTACCTCTACCTCTACCTCTTTCTCTCTCCTTCCCCCGTCCCTTCCACTCCTTTAAAATCAATGGAAAAAATATCCTCAGGTGAGGATTAACAACAAAAAAAGAGAGAAAGAATCATTCTTAAGTTTTAAAATTCTCTATGTATTGCTTTTAATGACAGACTAGAAAGGGGACATTATAAATATTTCAAGTACAATATTTAAATCAGGAGATATTAAGTACTGAAGGTGGTATTCATTTGCTAGGGTTTTTTAACAGAGTACCACAAACTGGGTGGCTTAAACAATAAAATTTTGTCTCACAGTTCTGGATGCTAAAAGTCTGAAATCAAGGAGCTGATTTGGAAGGAGAATCTATCCATTCTAGACTTCTTCCCTTGGCTTATAGGTGGTCATGTTCACATGACATTCTGTCTGAATACCTGTCTCCAAATAAACATACCAGACATTGGATTAGAGCCCAGTCTGATAACCTCATTTTAACTTGATTAACCTCTGAAAAGACCTTATCTTTATTTTTATTTTTTTATATTTTATTGTTTTTTTTTTACAGAGAGGAAGAGAGAGGGATAGAGAGTTAGAAACATTGATGAGAGAGAATCATCGATCAGCTGCCTCTTGCACACCCCCTACTGGGGATGTGCCCGCAACCAAGGTACATGCCCTTGACGGGAATCAAACCTGGGACCTTGCAGTCCGCAGTACGACGCTCTGTCCACTGAGCCAAACTGGTTTTGGCAAGACCTTATCTTTAAATCAGTTCTCCTTCTGAAGTATTGGAAAGTAGGACTTCAATATATGAAGGGCAGGGAGGGGAGCATAATTCAACCCACAAAGCAGGGCAACCATATTGTTTACTACTCATTTTTTCTGCCTAGTATTCTTTCTCTACTATGGATATCATTATTTGAGATTAAAAAAAAATAAAACATTAGATTTCTTTTTTTTTTTAATCCTCACCCAAGGATATGTTTTTATTGATTCTAGAGAGAGGGGAAGGGAAAGGGAGAAAGAAACATTGATATGAGAAAAAAACATTGATCAGTTTCCTCCTCACCAAGGACTGAACCTATAACTTAGGTATATGCCCTGACTGCAAATCGACCCGCATCCTTTTAGTTCACAGGACGATGCTCCAACCCATTGAGCCACCTGGTCAGGGCAGCATTGGTAGATTTTTTTTTCTACTTACATAATTTATTCCTTAATGTACTTTCATATTTATTTTTACATTTGCCTTAAATTATAAATAATTCAAAATAATTGCATGATCTATAAATATCTCTAGATGTCAAAATGATGATTTAATGACTTAGTGGTGAATCTTTCGTCATTTGTGTTTTATCCCTCTACCATTTAATTTTGAAAAATTGCAAAGCTATAAGAAATTGAAGGAATAGTTTAGTGCAGCAGTCGCCAACCTTTCAGACTTCATGGACCACCAGTGGTCCCCGGATCCTACTGGCTGGCAACCACCTGTTTAGTGAACACCATGTATTCACCTAGATCCAGTTGCTAACCTCATAGATTCATACACACTTTTTAACAAACTGTTTGAAAGTAAGGCATAGATATCACAACAACTCACCACTAATTATATGCCACAGGTCTCTTAAGAAGAACATTCTCTCACATTAAGACATTATCATACCCAAGAAATTTATTTTTGGAATAATACTGTTTACTATACAGTCCATATTCAAATTTCTCTGGTTATCTACAAAGATAATCTTTGTAACTGTACTTGAAAAATTAATATGACTTCTGTAGACATTAGTGACTGAATAACAGCAGTTTTGCTATAGGAAAAATCCGGGGAAGGTATAAGTCATTTTATTTATGAATTATCAAGATGATTATGATTTGCATAACTTGTAGCAAAAGGGTCATTTTATATTTGGTCAGAAATTTGAACTTTATTTTGGTTTTAGAGCATTAAAAACAACTTAAAAGTTATATTGCCTTGAGTCAGATTGTCGTTGGTTAAAATCCCATCTCTCCTTTTTTTCTAGCATTGTTGATTTTGGACAGGTTGCTTACTCTTTCTAAGTCTTAATACCAAATTTATTAAGGTATGAAAATGATCTGGGGAAAATACCTGTCCTGCAGTAATTATTCTGGATTTGGTAATAATTTCACAATTATTTGCCATCATTGGAAAGATGATAGTCAAATTACTGAATTGAATGAGTTAATCTGAGGCCCCTGTATTGATCAAAGCTCTTTTTTCTTTAAGGGAGCTTCACTATTCAGAATGTTTTTCCACAGTCTGATGGTGATAGTGCTAAAGTGAAGGTTAAAGTTCGCATTAACATCCATGGAATCTTCAGTGTGGCTAGTGCATCAGTAATTGAGAAGCTAAATATAGAAGGGGACCACATTGATGGTCCTATGGAGACTGAAACTTCATTTAAGGATGAAAGCAAAGATGATGTGGTATGTAAAAATTTTGTTTCAAATTCCTCTAATTAAATATATAGTACTGGTGCATGAATTCATGCACGGGTGGGGGTCTCTCAGCATGGCCTGCAGGGATTGGGCCAAAACTGGGAGTCCAACACCACCTGCTGCTCCTGCTCATCCTGGCCCTGCAATGCGAAGGGGAGAGACCATTGGAGGTTGGCCAGCCAGCCCCTTGATTGGGGCCAATGGGGCCGATGGCACGGGGGAGGGGCTGAGGGAAGTTGGCTGACCAGGGGCAGAGGGGCCACGGGAGACTGGCCAGCCAGCCCCCCAATTGGGGCCTATTGGGGAGACCAGCCAACAGGGGGGAGGGGCCACGGAAGGTTGGCAGGTGTGGGGGGAGAAGGACCCATGGGAGGTTGGCTGTGGGAGCACACTGACTACTAGGGGGTAGCTCCTGCATTTAGTGTCTGCCCCTGGTGGTCTATGCACATCATAGCAACTGGTCAACCGGTCATTCCAGTTGTTTGGTGGTAACAGTCACTTAGGCTTTTATATATAGGCAGTCCTCGGGTTACGTCAGACTCGATGTATGTCATTTCGTGGTTACATTGCCATCTCCCATCCTATATAAAACCCTAATATGCAAATCAACTTAACAGTGGAATGCCCGGTTGCTATGACACACTGACAACCAGGAGGGAGATGCTCAATGAAGGAGCTGCCCCCTGGTGGTCAGTGTGCTCCCACGGGGGGAGCACTATACAGCCAGAAGCTGGCTCATGACTGGCAAGCTCAGCAGTGGTTGCAGCAGCTTCTCCTGCCTCCGCTATAGGTGGGCAGTAAGGACAAGGGGTCCTGGACTGTGAGAGGGTGCAGGCTGGGTTGAGGGCCCTTCCCACCCCCAGTGCACAAATGTTATGCACCAGGCCTCTAGTTTATTTATTTATTTTAAATTCTGTCATTTCGATGTATGTACATATGTGTTTTAAGTTTTTTATTATTTATTTACCACAAGTAAAAGTCAGGAATTGCAATCTTTCTGTTTCACTTCATTACTGCTGTGTATGTGCTCCATGTGAGTGACATAGATGCTTATGTAGGTGGGTTCCAACTTGTGAAAATCACATAAGGTCATGCTGCAGGAACGGATCTTCGACATAACCCAATTACCTACTGTATAGAGATACTAGAGACCTATACTGGAGCAATTTTTTAAACAAATGATAATGGTCTTGATGGCACAAGGACATTATGTAGAAAAATACATATGTTAATAAATTAATTGAATGATTTTCAGAAGCATTGGCTTCTGAATGTGAACAAGTTTTAGAACTAACTTAACCAATTTATTTGGTTAATTTGCCTTTAGATGTATAAATATATACACACTAGAAGGGCTCTTTGAATAGGTATAAAACAAAAATGCCAAGTGATAAAGCATTTTGGCCTTTTAATTGGCAGCATCTTTTTTTAGTATTACAAGAAATGAAGCGAATAATGTAATTGTGTCTTCCTACATTACATCAACTTACCACTGTTACTTTTTGTTATTTTTAATCCTCACCTGAGGATATTTTTTCCATTTATTTTTAGAGAGAGTGGTTGGAGGGAGAGAAAGAGAGAGAGAGAGAGAGAGAGAGAGAGAGAGAGAGAGAGAGAGAAATCGGTGTCAGAGAAACACATTAATTGGTTGCCTCTTGCATGGTCTAACCAGCCAGAGCACCAGTGTCACTTTTTTCACATATTCTCAATCACAGGGTTGGAGAAAATGTACACTTAGAAGGTGCAGGGGAGTTGAAATAACAGAAATAATTGTCCTTTTATTGACAAAGAACAATTACAACTTATTTTTCTCATTAGCACAAATAAACTTATTTTTTTTTAATTAAAGATAGCCTTATGATTATCCTGTATGTGCTTAACTCCAGATATATTAGAAGACCTAAATTATACTGATTTCTGAATTCTAAGCTTTCTTCTTTTTGGAAGGACGGTCAAGGATAAGATTTTAAAGATCAGAAAAATGTAATACTTAGTATTATTTGCCAAATAGAAAGACCATTTTGCAGCCTTAACTGGCTAAAAGTTTGTCTTTTAGATATTAAAAATTTTTTAAGTTTATGTTATAATAATTCAGAGACATCCACTTTGGCAATTTTGCTGTATTTCCTTGAGTATTTTACTACATTTCAAAATATTATTGAATTTATGAAGTACATAAATTTTGTATCTTTTTCACTTCATTATTCCACATTAAATTTTTCAAAATATATTTTATTGATTTTTTACAGAGAGGAAGAGAGAGGGATAGAGAGTTAGAAACATCGATGAGAGAGAATCATCGATCAGCTGCCTCTTGCACACCCCCTATTGGGGTTGTGCCTGCAACCAAGGTACATGCCCTTGACCGGAATCGAACCCAGGACCTTTCAGTCCGCAGGCCGACGCTCTGTCCACTGAGCCAAACCGGGTTTGGCCTACATTAAATTTTTTTATTGACATTTTACATGTGAAATTTAATAGGGTTTTTTTTGTTCTTGTTTGTAAGCTTCCTTTTGTGAATCTGATTTGAAATTTTTCCATTTATTATGTGTGTGTTTTTGCCACAGGTGAATCACACAAGATTTATATACAGCATCAAATAGATCTTTTCATTTTAATTACCTGTTATTTGTAGTTATTTTCATGATTGAAAACAAGCTTCTGCCGAGACCGGTTTGGCTCAATGGATAGAGCGTCAGCTTGGGGACTGAAAGGTCCCGGGTTCGATTCCGGTCAAGGGCATGTACCTTGGTTGCGGGCATATCCCCAGTAGGGGGTGTGCAAGAGGCAGCTGGTCGATGACTCTCTCATCGATGTTTCTAGCTCTCTATCTCTCTCCCTTCCTCTCTGTACAAAATCAATAAAATATATTTAAAAAAGAAAAAGAAAAAAAAGAAAACAAGCTTCTGTTTTACTATTTATATAGTTCAAAAACAGACTTGAACTCTAATATGCTGTTTATTAAAGAAAAATAGACACTACAAATACTATTTTCTTTTCAGGAAAAAATGCAGGTTGACCAAGAAGAAGGTCATCAACAATGTCATGCTGAGCACACCCCAGAAGAGGAAATTGATCATACAGGAGCCAAAACAAAGGTTTGTTTTACTATTTCTATGGTTGTGTCTTATGGGGATTGAATCATTTAAGTTTATGTATTTACTTTATAATATATGTTTTTAATACACTTGATATTTTATTTTTTAAATATTTATTGTTGAGAGTATTATAGGTGTCCCCCATCATTCCCCCCGTTGCCCCACTCCATCCAGTTCCTGCCCTACCCCAAGCCTTCACCGCTTTATTGTTGTGTCCATCAGTAATACATATATGTATATCTTTGGTTAATCTATTCCCACTCACCACAACCAGTTCCCTCTAAGACTGATCAGTCTGTTCCATATTTCCATTCCTCAGTTTTATTCATCAATTTATCTTGTTCATTCGATTTCTTGTTCATTTATTTTTATATTTAGATTAAATTATTGACAGATATGTATTTTTTGCCATTTTATTTTTCATATTCTTTATCTTTTCTTCTTCTTCCTCTCCTTAAATAATTATCTTCAACATTTTGCCAAAACCGGTTTGGCTCAGTGGATAGAGTGGACTGAGGGGTCCCAGGTTCAATTCCAATCAAGAGCATGTACATTGGTTGTGGGCACATCCCTGTTGGGTATGCAGGAGGCAGCTGATCGATGATTCTCTCATTGATGTTTCTAACTCTCTATCCTTCTCCCTTCCTCTCTGTAAAGAATCAATAAAATATATATTTTTTAAAAATAACAAAAAAAACCACACAACACATTTCATGTAATACTGGTTTGGTGCGATGACCTCCTCTAGCTTTTTCTTGTCTATGAAGCTCTTTATCTGATTGTTAATTCTAGATGATCACTTTGCTGGGTAGACTAATCTTGGTTGTAGGTCCTTGCTATTCATCACTTTGAATATTTCTTGCCACACCATCTGGCCTGCAAAGTTTCTGTTGAGAAATCAGCTGATAGTCATATAGGTACACCCTTATAGGTAACCAACTGCTTTTCTTTTGCTTCTTTTAAGATTCTTTGTTTTTAAACCTTGGCATTTTAATTTTGATCTGTCTTACTTGATGTTGCTTCTTTGGGTTCCTCTTGTTTGGGACCCAGCGCTTCCTGGACTTATACGTCTGTTTCTTTCACCAGGTAGGGGAAGTTTCCTATTATTATTTCTTCAAATATGTTTTCACTATCTTTCTCTCTCTCTCTTCTTATGGCACCCCCATAATGCAAATATTGGTAAGCTTGAAGTTACCCTAGAGTAGGGGTGTTGAACTCAATCAGAGAAGGGGCCAAAATCTAAAATCCAGCTTAAATCACGGGCCGAATGGTTTACTGAACAGTCATAAACTGTCATTGTGATGGAAACGCAGCGGAGTGCAGTGATGACAGCGCGGTGCGGGCCACATTGCAAGGCCTGGTGGGACGGATTTGGCCCGCGGGCCTTGTGTTTGACACATGTGCCCTAGAGGCTCCTTATATTATCTTCATACTTTTGGATTCTTTTTCCTTTTTGCTCTTAAGGCTGGGTATTTTTTCTTCTTTTGCTTCCTCATATTCCAAATCATTTATTTGATTCTCAGAATCCTCTACTGGTAAAAAACCCTATAAATTATTCTTTATTTCAGCTAGTATATGCTTAATTTCTGACTGGTCCTTTTTCATGTCTTTTAAATTCTCACTAAGATCCTTGAAAGGCTCACTAAATCCCTTGAAGCTCTTATTAAGATCCTTGAGTTGCCGAAACCGGTTTGGCTCAGTGGATGGAGCGTCAGCCTGCAGACTGAAAGGTCCCGGGTTCGATTCCAGTCAAGGGCATGTACCTTGGTTACGGGCACATCCCCAGTGGGGGTTGTGCAGGAGGCAGCTGGTCAATGTTTTCTCTCATTGATGTTTCTAACTCTCTATCCCTCTCTCTTCCTCTCTGTAAAAACTCAATAAAATATATATTAAAAAAAAAAAAGATCCTTGAGTAACCTTATAACCATTATTTGAACTCTGTATCCAGTAAGTAGATTGCTTGCTTCCATTTCTTTCATTTCAAACATGTTTTTTTGTCTCCTCATATTGGCTGTTTCCCGGTTTATTTCTATGTATTAGGTAGAGCTGTTATATCTCCTGGAATTGATAGGGTGGCCTTGTGTAATAGATGTCCTGTAAGGCCCAGTGGTTCAGCCTCCCCAGGCACCTTAGCTGGGCATTCAAGGTGTGCCCCAGTGTGATTTTCATGCACAGTCTTATAGTTGAGTCTTGACTGCTTTTGGCATCACTGGGAGTAATTGACCTATAGGCCAATTGACTGTGAGGACCAGCTGCAACTATAGTGAAAGAACTGCTGTGCATGAGACAACCCTATGGATCAGGACTTGCTTCAGTGGGGCTTTGGTGCTCACTGAGTCTTCCCCTTGAGTGTGTCACTTGTGAATGTGAAGAGTTGTAATATGGTATGATCTGAAGCTGTCTACTGTGCACACTGGCTTTGGGGCCTCCCAGCAGAAGCTACAGAGAGATCTACAGATTGCTGGTACTTGTATTGGGCTAGGAAGTGCCCTAGGCAAGGCCCAGTTGTGAAGCAAGGCAGGCTGGTGCTAGTGTTGGGTCTTGGGCCCTTTATTGATAGGTTTGTGAAAGGCTGACTCCAATTCCTCTTGTTGAAAAGACTTTAGCAAAATCTGAAGCCTGAGCCAGAACAGGCCATTCATATAGAAAAGTAGCTGCAAACAGCTTGGATGGGGCAGGATCTCAGGGAATCATCAGGACAGAAAACAAGGTAGGCCATGCTGATGGAAACTCAGATATGGATGCCAGTCCACTCTGCCATAGGGAGGCACCAGCACAGGAACCATGAACCCTATGAGCATCCTAGGCTGTGAGAAAGCCACTCCCCGCCCCCAAGTTCCTGCCCTGATATCTGACATTCCAGTTCCTCCCCATATGTTCTTGGATGTCCCCAAAGCCTCTTCCCAGCACTGGAGCTCAGAGGAAGCTGGACTATGAAAGTTTGTGTGTGGGCCTTTCAAGACAAACGTGTTGTTGCCATGGCAACAACACAAGCATCCTGCCCTGCCCCCAGCTGCTCAGCATCAGCATATGCAAATTAACCTGCCATCTTTGTTCGGTTACTTTGCATACTCACTCCTGATTGGCTGGTGGGCATCACAAAGGTATGGTCAATTTGCATCTTTATCTTTTATTAGTGTAGATTGATAAACTTGGGCATGTTCCTAGGACTGGAATTGCTGGATATATGGTATCTTTTATTTTTTGAGAAACTGTTTTCTAGAATGGCTCTAATTTACTCTCTTATCAGTTATGAATAAGAGTTCCAATTTCTTCACATCCTCATCAATTGTCATTTTCTATTTTTTATATTACTGCCATCTTAATGGATGTAAAGTAGCATCTCATTATGGTTTCAATTTGCATTTCCAGTCCAATATATTTTATATAAAAAGACTTAATGTGCAGAGTATAAAATGTTACCAGCATTAAAGTAGTATTTTAAAATATAGTTGATAAGTTTTGTTTAATTTTACTTTCTTATTTCATCTGAAATTACTCTTAAATCTATTTTTAAACTAGCTTTAGAAATTTATTATCCTCTTTCTTTTTTTCTTTTTTTTTTCCAGTCAACTCCCTCAGACAGACAAGACCGATTAAACCAGACTATTAAAAAAGGAAAAGTCAAGAGTATTGATCTACCTATCCATAGTAGCCTGTGTAGACAACTAGGCCAAGATCTTCTCAATAGCTACATTGAAAATGAGGTATATAATTCCCGTATTGATGTTAAAATAGGTAGTATTTTTATTCTGAGATTTTTGTAGAAGTCAACAGTTATCCCCCCAAATGAGGTAATTAGTTTATAACTACTAAGAAATTACTAGATTATTAAACTACTTTATTTTGGACAAAATATGAGCTGTATTAATGTCATGTACAGTTTCATCTTAGTTATATGAGGAAACATGATTATTTCCACTATAGAGAAAGACTAGTCCAACAATAATGATTCCTACCCCTTCTAGTCTGTCTTTAACAGTAACACCCAGCAAATACCTTATGGGGAAGTAATAGCAGCTCCCCTCTTTTAATGTGTTGTCCTAAAAGATAAATATTCTATTCAAAATGCTTCCTGGCTTAGAATTAATACTTTGTAAAATTTGTTGTCGTTCTTGAAATTTTCTTTACATAGCTAAATGTTTTAGTCTCTTGAAGAGTTTTGTTTCTTTAATAGTAATTGTGTAAGAAGTAGTTTACTTTTATTTGCTTATTTTTATTTCAGAAAGGGAGAGGGAGAGAGAGAAAACATCAATGAGAGTCATTGATTGGCTGCCTCCTGCACACCCCCCACTGTGGATCAAGCCCACAACTTGGGCATATGCCCTGACTGGGAATTGAACTGTGACCTCCTGAATCTGAGTATGTACAATGACATGGAATATATGGCTTTTAAACAATATATCAATTTTAGCCATAGCTGATTTGGCTCAGTGGATAGAGCATCAGCCTGTGAACAGAAGGGGTCCCGGGTTCGATTCCAGTCAAGGGCATGTGCCCGGATTGCAGGCTCAGTCTCCAGTGGGGTTATGCAGGAGATAGCCAATCAGTGATTCTCCCTCATCATTGATGTTTCTATCTCTCTCTCCTTTTTCCTTCCTCTCTGAAATCAATAAAAGCATATTTTAAAAAATAAATAATAAAATAAAATTCTAATCCACTTTCTGTCTCTACAAATTGGCGTATTGTAGATGAACATAATCATACAATATTTACTGTATAAATGTAGTCATACAATATTTGTTCTTTGGTGTCTGACTTATTGCACTTAGTAGATGTTTTCAAGGTTTAGCCATGTTTTAACATGTATTAGAACTTCTGTTGTAAGTTAATATTCCATTGTGTATATGTACATTTTATTTATCCATTCATCTGTTAGTGGACAATTTCTACATTTTCACTATTATGAATATTACTGCAGTGAACCCTGGTATACAAATATCTGTTTGAGTTGCTACTCTGGATTTATACCTAATTGCTGGGTCATATTGTTATTTGAGGAACCACCAAACTTTTTTGTCACTGCAGCAGCATTGTACATTTCCAACAGCAGTGTACAAGTGTTTCATATTCTGCACATCTTCACCAATAATTGTTTTCTTAGTTATCTTATGAAATGGTATTTTCATTGTGCTTTTGACTTGTATATCCCTAACTCCTTAATATTCTTAATGGCACCTAATCTGAAACTTTAACCTAATTTGAACAGGGGAAAATGATAATGCAAGATAAATTGGAGAAAGAGAGAAATGATGCTAAGAATGCTGTTGAAGAATATGTATATGATTTTAGAGACAAGCTGGGCACTGTCTATGGAAAGTTCGTCACTCAAGAAGTAAGTCTAGCTCTGGCCAACTGGCTCTGTAGGTTGGAGTGTTATTCCTTACACCAGGAGGTTTTGGGTTCTATTCCCAATCATAGCATATATGGGAGCAAACCAATTGATGTTTCTCCTATGTCTTTGATTCTTCTTCTCACTCACTCCTCCCTCCCTCTGTATCTCTCTAAAAATCAATTTAAAAAATATCCTCAAGTGAGGACTGAAAAAAAAGTATGTTTTTTACTACCCTGCTTCCCCGAAAATAAGATAGTGTCTTATATTAATTTTTGTTCCCAAAGGTGTGCTAGGTCTTATTTTCAGGGGATGTCTTATCTTTCCATGCACTAGGTCTTATTTTTGGAGGATGTCTTATTTTCGGGGAAACACAGTAGAACTACCGTATTTTTCGGACCATAAGACGCTCCGGACCATAAGACGCACCAGTTTTTAGAGAAGGGAAATGAAGAAAAAAAGATTCTGAAACAAATAGTGTCCTAAAATATTTTATGTGCATTAAAACCCAACATCACAGTCATAAACACATGTAATCAACCCTGTAAACAGCAGCATTTAGAACCATTTTAGAGCCAGGCAAGCACACAGAGACCACACAGAGCCGGGCAAGTAAAAAAACTTTTTTTTTAAAGTATATGTGTAGGCTATATTTGGACCATAAGATGCAGGGACTTTTCCCCCCCACTTCTAGGGGGAAAAAAGTGCGTCTTATGGTCCGAAAAATACGGTACTTGTAGTGTTTGCTTGTGACTGCTAATACAAATTATGTAAATAAATGTGTTAAATGTATTATTGTCAATCTTCTTGAGCACATTTAGGAATGGTTCTTATTTTTCCAATTAGCAGAAGTATGGTGAAGAATATATTTATAAATAAAAGTAAAAAAATATGAAATTCAGTTTTTTATATTTGAAAACATTATTTCCTTCATTAAATTTATATTTCTAAGGAAAGCATTTTTAGTCACTGTCTTTTAAATGTATATCTAGGACTTGAATAAACTATCTGCGGTATTAGAAGATACAGAGAATTGGCTTTATGAAGAAGGAGAGGACCAACTTAAACAAGTTTATGTGGATAGGCTTCAAGAACTAAAGGTAAATTTTTTAAAGTCCATGTTAGTGCAAAATAGAATATTATTAAGTTTTCCTAAAAGTTGGTTGTAAGAGCACAGTGTATTTTTTTCATAAATATGTAAGAAATTACTAAGGCAGACATGTGTAGCAGGAAATGTTTTTTCTCATTTAAAAAGCATTTTGAGAAATGAGCAATGCTAAATATGTAATTGAAATCAAATAATGATAATTATATTTGTCTGTCATGATTCTCAGATATAAATATTTAGATGACCAGAATGTTAGTGTTACTTTAACAAGCCATATATTTCTGAGATGACATTAAAAATGATTTGTCAACCTAACCCCTTCTTATTAGAGGAGTCACACTTCCTCAGCTTCTCTCCCCCTTCATTGGTTTGATTTCCATACTGCAAGTGTGGGGACACTTGGTCAGCAAAGAACTTCAAAAATTTTCTTTTTACTAAGAAATACGGAGACGTGGTCACCAGATTTAAAAAAATCTAGGCCAATAGTTTGATTTTAAGAAAAGACCTTTTCACCTGCTTACTACCCAACCCTCCTCCTATCCTGAAAAGGAAATAGTTTGATTAGAAACTCAGACTGGAAGGATGACAGGGAATTTTATTCCCTCCTTCTTAGTGTAGATCATATGGTGCTTAAATGTGTACATGAATTACTTAGGGCTCTTACTGAAATGCAGATTATTACTTAGTATAAGGAGGTGGGCCCAAGATTATATAGTTTTAATAAGCTTCTAAGAGATTCTGATGCAGTTGGTCCCTAAATCATTCTTTGAGTAGCAAGGGACTACATAGAAGCTAAATAATGGCATTAAGCATTTCTATAAAATGGGAAAACAACCTGTTAACTGGAGGATTGGGGTGCAAAAGAAGTTAAGCAAAAGAAGTTAATATCTTGAAACAATTAATTCCAAAAGGAATAATTATAAAGCAACTAGCAGACAAGCTTATGACAGCAATACATGGCTTTATCACATTTTATCTTCTTGGTGATTTTACTCCATATCTCCCTAAGAGAATGCATGTATTTTGGGCCATAGGAACAGCCAAGCAGCTAATGCTCATAGAAATAACTGGAAAAGCCCAGAAACACCCCAAATGGATATTTAAGCACCTTAAATGTATAATTAACCATAAAAATGAATGCTACATAAGTTTTTATAGGCTTTACTATTGTTTTAAGATGGCTTTTAGAAATTTAAAATGCAGTACTTGTTTCTTCAGATATCTTTCCTATATAATAAAAGGCTAATATGCAAATTGACCCAGTGGTGGAACTACCAATCTCTATGACATGCACTGGCCACCAGGGGGCAGATGCTCAATGCAGGAGCTGCCCCTGGTGGTCAGTGTGCTCCCACAGGGGATGGCTGCTCAGCCAGAAAGCCAGGTTCACGGACATCCCCCAACGGCTCCTGGACTGCGAGAGGGTGCAGGCCAGTCTGAGGGACCCCCCCTCAAGTGCATGAATTTCGTACACCGGGCCTCTAGTATTTATGAAAAAAAAGTATGATATAAAGACTAAATGCAATATGATATCCTGGAACAGAAAAAGATGAAGTCCAAATAAAATCTGGATTTCAATTAATAGTAATGTACCAGGGTTGGTTTCTTAGTTTTGACAAATACACTGTGCTGGTATAACATGTTAACATTAGAGAAAAGCGATAAGAGGTGCCTGGGTCTTATCTTTCATTTCCTTTGTAACTTTTCTGAACATCTAAAATAAACTAATTCTTATTTAAGTATGTAAACAATTTAAAATAAAATATTTACTCATTCTTCTATATTATACCTCTCCTAAATGTTATAGAGGCTATTTTAACATTTAGAAACTCCCCATTACATGGCCCAAAGATTTTTTTTTTAATGGAAAAAATACAAAGATTTCTTTTTTAAAGCACTGCATTTATAATAAAGTATACATTTTTAAACTAATGAATAAACATAATAAACATAATATTCAATGTTTTCTGTTAAAATGTTTTTGTTAGTAACTTTTTCTTTTTAAAAAAATTAACCTATGTTAACAGAAATATGGCCAGCCTATTCAAATGAGATACATGGAACATGAAGAGAGACCAAAAGCTTTAACTGACTTGGGAAAAAAGATACAACTTGTCATGAAAGTGATAGAAGCATACAGAAACAAGGTATTGAATTCATAAAGTCAACTGATGATGATTGCATGAGGAATACTTGGTGAGCGTGGGGCAAATCCAAAAGTTCTCAGCTACAAAGCTGTAACAGTTGTTGCTACCAAATTTCAGAGACATTGTGCAGCAAACTTGAAACCTTTCTTTTTTTATGAGAATTGTCAGTAAATGATATTACTGCCTTTAAAATACAGTGCAGGTATGTGATTTTCATTTTTTTTAATTCCCTAAAACCACATTACAAATTAACCTACTGACCAAATCCATTATTGATCATTATTGATATAGTGAGAGAGGTTTTCTTAAACCTTTTTTATTAAAGGCTTTTTGTGACTGGACTCTGCTAGCCTTTATTTTTGTCCTGTGGCCTCTTTTTCTTTTGATTTCCCTCTGTCTTCTAACTGGACAATCCCCTGTACCCATGTTTCTTTTATATACATACCCAAATCTATATTATTACCCTTGACCTTTCCTCTTATTTTAAGCTTCAAAATTTAGTTGTATAAATGATATCTCCACTTGGATATAACAATAAGATTTAACAAAATTAAGCTTATTGTTTTTTTCCCTCTAATCAGAGGTTAGCCAACTTTTTCTTCAAATATTTTTAATATATTTTTATTGATTTTCAGAGAGGAAGGGAGATAGAGACCTCAATGATAAGAGAGTATCATTGATTGGCTGCCTCCTGCATGCCCCACACTAGAGATTGAGCCTGCAACCCGGGCATGTGCCCTGACCTGGAATCAAACCATGGCCTCCTGGTTCATAGGGTGACACTCAACCATTGAGCCATGCTGCTGGGCCAACTTTTCTTTAAGTGAGCAAATATTTTAGGCTTTTCAGGTTTTATCTCTATACAGCTATTGAAGTCTTCATTGTAGTGCAAAAGCAACCATATGTGATATGTACATTAATGGACCTGCGTGTATTCCAAAGTAACTTTACTTAAAAAAACACAGGTAGCATGTTGGATTAGGTCTGTAGGACAAGTTTGCTAACTCCTACTTTAAATAAATATTCGCCCAGCCGATGTGGCTTGGATGTTTAGAGTGTTGTTCCATGCACTGAAGAATCTGGAGTTCAATTTCCAGTCAGGGCACATATCCAGATTAAGAGTTTAATCTCCTGTCAGGGTGCATAAAGGAGGCAATCAATCAATGTTTCTCACATCAATGTTTCTGATTCCCTCCCTTTCTCTTTATAACCAAAGAAAATAACATATCCTCAGGTGAAGTTTAAAAAAAAAAATCAATTTGGTAGCAAAGGAACACATAATTTTCCCAATTTTTATCATTGCTATTACATTGAATTTAATAAATACATTTTTATTGATTTCAGAAAGGGAGAGAGAAAGAGAAATATCAATGATGAGAGAATCATTGATTGGCTGCCTCCTGCATGCCCCACATTAGGAATTGAGCCCGCAACCTGGGCTGTACCCTGACTGGGAATCGAACCATGAGTTCCTGGTTCATAGGTCGATGCTCAACCACTGAGCCATGCCTGCTGGGCAGGAGAGGCTAGCTAGCACCTGAAAGATTCGAGCAGAGTATGAGTAATAGCTTACGTTGAACAAGCACTTAGTGAGTTTGAAGCATTTTTATATGGATTATCACACTTCATTCTCATACACATATATAAGAAAACTGTGGTGCGTAAGCAACTTGTCAAGGTCGTAAATAGTGGGGTCAGGATTAAAACCTAAGCATCACCCAGCCAGTGCGGATTAGTGGTTAAGTATGGACCCATGCACAAGAGGTTGGTTGCTGGTTCAATTCCTGGTCAGGGGGCATGCAAGAGGCAGCTGTTTCTCTCTCATCAATGTTTCCGTCCCTCTCTCTGTCTCCCTCTCCCTTATTCTCTCTCTAAAAAAAAAATATAAAAATAAAAACTATATTTAAAAACAAACAAAGCACCTAAGCAGTACCAAGTTAACATACAAACTCTTGACCATGGAGCTTTTCGCTATACAATGTAGAAAGAGGTTACTTATTACAGAAAAAAATATTTGTGAAATTTATAAAATCATATCACTATCCAAGCAACCTAGAAGACTCCAGGTAAAAATTGTGAATGTCCCTGCCAATGGCAGCGTCCTAATTGTCCAAACAGGTACAAATAGAACAAAAGGATAATGGAAAGATAAGGAGGAACAAGCCGACAAAGGAAACACTAAGACTATTTCAATTATGGTACTGGAGATTTCCATAAAATTACTATGGACCAGGTTTTAGCAGTCTTCTTGAGGGTGCAGGTTTAAGAAATTATCCAAAGCAAGACTTCACTTAAGATCAAGGATTTTTCGTTTTTATCATGGGCCAGACTCCCTTCAAGGGGCTGGAACTACAGCATCAAACAAAACATTGAACCTTATGCTTTAGTAAGGAAAGGTAGATAATAAGTTACTGTAAAGTAGTCAGATAGTGATAAAGAGCTATGAAAAAAGTAAGGAACTGTCAGAGGTGGAGATTTGTCAGAAGGGCAGACAGCTAATAAGATGACACACCATGTGAGGGGAGAACTGAAGGAGGTCAGCGTTCAATATGTATGATAACTGTAAGAAAAAAGTTCTACAAAAAAGGGAATAGCAGTTGCAAAATCTCAAGGGAGAACATACTGAAGAAACAGCAAGGAGTCCCCTGTGGTTTAAAACAGTGGTGGTGGGTAAGCAGGTACCAGATCATAAAGGGCCTATTAGGCCTTTAGAAAAGTTTGGCTTTTCCTCTGAGAATAGGAATCCATTGAAGATTTTGAACATAAAAGTAAAATGATTTATTTTTTTAAGGACTAGAAGCAGAGAGACTAGTGCAGCCATTAATAGAATAATACAGGCAGGAGACAGTGGGAGGCTTGAACTTGGGTAGTGGAGGGGGAAGAAGTAGTTATATTTTTGCTGCACTTATTTTGAAGGCAGAGCTAATAAGATCTGTTGATAGATTTTATATAAATATAACAGAAAGAAGAGTCCAAATGAATGAAAGGATTTTGTCTGAAAGGATGAAGTTGCCATTTACTGGGAAGAGTAGGTAGGGAGGTGATTGAAATGTAGGGCATCATTTCAAATTTCACAAATAGAAAATCAAGTTGGAAGTTGTTTATAGAGTTGGGATTTCTGGGAAGAGGTTCAAGGCTAGAGTTTTTGCTTTTTTAAAATTTATTTAAAGAATGTAAATACAGCATGAATGGGAAAGAACTTAAGCAATGATCCATGAATTTGCAAGGAATTCAGAAAAATAGGGGGGGGGGGGGCGCGGATACCCAGAAACTGAGAGATGAGGGGTACATAATTTGTAATCACACATGTAGAAAGATGGATCGAGTATCTGATGAAGCATCATCATCTTCTCTGTTCTTTCATTCTCTTTTCCTTTATCTCCATGTCCAATCTCCAATTCATCAGGAAACCCTCTTTCCATATGTTGCATTGTCCATTTTTTCTGGTTCTGTGGCTAACAATTTAAACCATGGCTTATTATCATGTCTTCTATGTGTGGCAGCTGCAATTTTCTCTTTTTAAAAAATATTTTTTTATTGTTTTCAGAAAGGAAGAGAGAGGGAGAGAGAAAAATTAATGATGAGAGAAAAATCATTGACTGGCTACCACCTGCATGCCCCCTACTGGGGATCGAGCCTGCAACCTGAGCATGTGCCCTTGACCAGAATCAAACCTGGGACTCTTCAATCTGCAGCCCGATGCTCTATCCACTGAGCCAAAACAGCTAGCTCTGCAATTCTCTTTTTCAGACAGCATTTTATTATGTAATTCCCTTTATCAACAACTTTCTATAGTGTTTTGTTATATATTCAGAAATTTCTGTTTAGTTTTCCATATGCCTGCTTCTCTTATTTCTCTTAACTCTGACAAATTCAATTCCATGCAGCTCCTTTTTTGGCTAAGTACCTTTCTTTGAATATTCACCACTAGTCATTTTTTTTCTAAACCTGAATCCTTTAGAAAGCCTTTCTTTTTAAGAACCCATACTGATTTTTATTTTGCCCCAGGCTCTTCAGTTCTATGTAACATGCATGTGGCTTCTTCACATGGGTATGTGCAAAGTATATATTCAATAAATTTTATTAATAAAATTTACTTACTAAAAAAGTTCCATTAAGTAAAGGGTTATTTTGTTTGTTTGTTTGTTAATTAGGATGAAAGATATGATCATTTGGATCCTGCTGAAATGGAAAAAATTGAAAAATATATCAACGAAGCCATGAGTTGGCTTAACAGTAAGATGAATGCACAGAATAAATTAAGTCTCACTCAAGATCCTGTGGTGAAAGTTTCAGAAATAGTTGCAAAGTCAAAGGTAAGAAATTATAGAATTCTCTTTTTAAGGGGTTTAAGCACTAAATTTATTTATTTATTTATTTAATTATTTAATTAATTAAATTATTATCTTTGTACATATATCATTGCCCCCCCCCATACATGCCCTCCCTCCCCAGAGTTTTGTGTCCATTGGTTGTACTTATATGCATGTATACAAGTCCTTCAGTTGATCTCTTATCTCCCCCAGATCTCCCTAACCTCCCGGCTGTAATTTGACAGTCTGCTTATTGCTTTACTGTCTCTACATCTATCTTTTGGTTCTTCAGTTTATAATGTTCTTTATCATCCATAAATAAGTGAGGTCATGTGATGTTTCTCTTTCGTTGACTGGCTTATTTCACTCAGCATGATGTTCTCCAATTCCATCCAGTTTGCTGCAAATGATGAGAATTTCTTCTTTTTTATGGCAGCATAATATTCCATTGTGTAGATGTACCATAGTTTTTGGATCCAATCATCTGCTGATGGGCACCTAGGCTGTTTCCAAATCCTAGCTATTCTAAATTGAAGCACTAAAATTTTTTAATGGGAAACATAATTTTTTATTTTGAAAAAAGATTCTAGGTGGGACATCTCTTGATTTCATTAGTCACATACAGAAGGCCTATTTTTTAAAAAATTACATGTAATACAGAATGAAATAAAGCACTTTGACAACTTTTGTCTGTCAAATATGTTAGACTTTTCTGGATTGGGTAAGACCTCTAAGTCTCCATTGTAAACTTGGCAGTACAGGTCAGTCTTTGCATAATTCCAAACGTGTTTAGTTCTATGGTAAAATCTTATTTCTAAGATAAAGTTTGCACTCTAAAAACATTACTACTGAAAATTTCAGTTCAAAACAAATATTGAAACTGATGTGGTTATGTTATCATAGAAAACATAAAAATAGGGGACAAAGTTTTCAATAAAGATCAGCATCAATCTAGGAATATGAATAAATACATTGGATAAGCAGTTGACAAAAGAAATACATATTCAATAAAAATATGAAAAATACAAAAAGTATTGTTCATCCTTATCACTAATCTAAAAAATGCAAATCTCTCTTTTCACCCATCTGAAGTTGTGTGTTTACATTTTTAATCTTGCCACAATTGTCAAGGGTATGAAGAAATAAATGCTCTCCCTGAACATCTTGGTTAAATTTGTTAAAACTTTTCCAGGACATTGTACCACAATATGCATACAAATTTAAAGTGAGTAGGCACTTTAACCCAAAATCACATTTCTAAGAATTCATCCTAAATTGATTATTGCACAGGTATATGCAGATTAAATTCCTTTGTTTATAATAGCAATAAATTGGATATACCTAAAATACCTATCAGTAAGCAAGTCAATGAATTGATACATCCATATAACACATTGTAGTCATTAAGTATTTTAAGTATAGAGATATCTCTCTCTCTCTCTCTCTCTCTCTCTCTCTCTCTCTCTATATATATATATATATATATATATGTATATATATATACATATATATATATATGTGAGCAACATACTGAGTGAAAAATGAAAGATTACAGAATATAAAGATATCTCACTGTATAAATGAATGTCTTAATAGATATATTTGTATATATGTGTATCCCTGATATTCATCTAGAAGGACCATCACTCAAAATGTTAATATCTGTAGGATATGGAATTTCAGGTGATTTTTCACCTCGTATATTTTTAGGTATCTCATGTTTTTTAACTGAAAGAGGTATTATTTTAATCAAGTAGAGCACTAAACTTTTGAGAAAGTTTTACAGAGAAGCTATAATAATTTATTCCTCATCAAATGAAGTGCAAAATATGATGAATGAAGTTTGCCATTAAAACATTCCTCCAGGATGTTACTCCTTATCTTTCCACTTCTATATCAATCTCTGTGACACAGGTCTTGAAAATATTTTAATGGTCTTTTTTGTCTATGTAAAAAAATAAAGTAACAATTCTTAAATTGCATTTATTTTCATGGTTTATTCTCTCAACATAAAAAAGGCTACTCATTTGTTTTAAAAAGTAAAGTTAGTATGTATGTTTTCATATAAATGTTGAGAAATATCAATTCATGAAATAGTTGCTGGCATAATTCTCATAACAGAGCAGTAGGCATAATTTAATGAAATTAATTAAAAGCTATTTGCAATAATAATCTAAAAAAGATATATGATTCCCTATGTTAATTGCTGAAGTAAACTGTATTTTAAATTTGAGGAAATGATTTTTTAGGAAGATCCAATTTAAAAACCACTGTTAAGATTGAATAATTCCACTGACATGCACTAACCCAGAAGGTAAATCCCTCATTGAGGTACTTGAAGAAACTCGGTTGATTATGTAACTGAGCTAACATAAATTCAGGTATGTGGAATTATGTGGAAATTTTGAAAGTTAATGTAGAATTTAACAGTGGATTTTTTTAATGTAATCAATATTCTTCATGTCTTTAGGAACTGGATAATTTCTGTAACCCCATCATTTACAAACCCAAACCAAAAGTAGAGGTTGCAGAAGACAATGCAAAAGCTAATAGTGAACACAACGGACAGATGGATGGACAGAGTGGGACTGAAACCAAACCAGATACAAAAGACAGCTCACAGCATACTAAATCTTCTGGAGAGATGGAAGTGGACTAAATCTTAAATTTACCTTCACATAATTCAAACAGTGCAAGTAACCACGGGATCCATTCTTCTTTTACATCTGATACACACAACAGATGTTCAGTTGTTCTTAATCACTTTTTGTCATTTGTTATTGGGAGTAGTTTTGAAAAGTGTTTTATATTGAGTACACATCTATAAATTTCCATTGCTGCTTATGTGAAGCTTTAGCTGAATATAGATTTACATGTCAGTTTAAGCTTTCCTAATGTATATCACATGCAAGACTGACATGTAATTGGCCACAGTCTACCTTATTTAGAGCTTCTACTTGGATAAACTTTTGCTTCTTATTCAGGAAAGTATACAGTATTGCACTATTGTTGCAGAAGCGTAGATATAACTGATCATTATTTTGAAAAACAAATATTGAAACTGATGTGGTTTGTTCTAACTTAAGTATGCAAACAAATAAGAGGTTCCTTGACAAATTAGTCCATCTCATTGGTGTGCCATGAGAATTCCAGAAGCTTTGCTTTTATCACGTAAATGAACCAAATCTACGTTGAAAGTGAAAACGCACGCACAATTTTATGTAAAGGTGACACCAGCAGTTTTCTTCCTTTATTAGAAATGTAGATTGATGTTTTCTTAGAGTACTTCAGTATCATTTTCACTTGAAACTTCTGATCTACTTGTCTTGAAGACCTGCTGCTGCTGCTAGCCCGAAGGAGGCTTTTTTATGAAAATACGTTCATGTGAAGTGGGAAATGCTGTTGACCTACTCAGATATGCATCTGTGATATTGATAGCCTTGTTTCAGTTTTGATATTTGTTTTAGTTTTATGGATTGATTCTGTTAAATCTTAACACAGGGAAAGGGGAAATGGCACAATGTATTGCATTATGTACACTTATTGAAGTACTTAATGTTAAGATATAAAAACACTATTAAATAAGTGGTAATACTTGAAAAGAATCACTTATGCCCTAAGTCTTAGGAAATAATGCTTGTAATAAACTTAACTATGTTACATATCAACAGGCAAAATAGAGAATGTTACATAGTTTAATATGACGTGATTAAATTATAGTTCCTGCTATTATATTACCTGTTCAGAGGCTCACTTTTTCTGAAAGCTAAATTTTTATATTAATAATAATTAATATTGACTTAAGTAGTACAAATTGAGAGTTTAGTACCTTTAGGGATGGTCATTATTTCTCACAACTAGTTCTCTAAGAGAGATTTTGTTTCTACAATGTAGTCTGCACTGAAAGGGGACTGTAGAGGGAATGCACTTTCCAGGGATTTTTATCATCCTTTTTGAGGCAGATATCCCTTGTTTGCATTAAAAAACATTATATACTCTCAATATATCTTAATGTTTTCTAGCCTTTAAAATGTTCTTGTTTTAATACATTTAAAATGAAATAATTATATCCATTAGTAATAAGTGATAAAGTACCTTATTATAAAAAGCATTTACCAGTTACTTTTCATTTATATGTTGAATATACTATATAGGTTCATTTGGGGAAGAACAACATCATTAAAGGGAACTCATAACAGTAAAAGTAAGGAGTTTATAGTTTTTTCTTGAGTTAGCAAGAAGACCACTATCATTATTTTAGGAGCTATACCTCAGAAACCTCTTGGGAATAAATGTGGGAACAACCCTTTCTTCATCTGAATTGTCTAGTATGTCCTGACATTTTCCATTCCTTAAATCAGTTTATGTAGTTCTGTGTTTTGGTCAGATATATAACATTCCAATTGTTGCAGTTATATAACAATGAGTTAAATACATTCAAAGATAATATGTGTGCTTTTTAATTTATTCAACTTAAATTATATTTTCAAACACTGTTTAACCTTATATTGTAGTTATTTATTGACTACATTAGAATGTAATATAGTTCTTCTACAAAGGAATGTTCTCCTAAATACAATTTTGGGTAGATAGTATGGTTTAGTTTCATTTTAATCACTGAAATATGCAGTGCTAGACAAAAGAATTACATATTTTTTCAAAAGGAAAAACTATTATAGATTTTTAAAAGATACATAACAAAATAGACTGTTTTACTATAGTAGGCAAATAAAGACTAAGAAATATCTAGGATGATTAATAAATATTAGTATATTTTGACTCTTGAAAAAATATAAATTATTTGGTTTGCAAAACAACTCTTGATAGCCTATTATGAGTATAAAAACAAAAACTGCTAATAATATAGCAATAATATAACAAATTTAAATTCCTTAGCAGTAATCAGAATTCTTGAGTTTTAAAGTAACTAGAAACAGCACACCAAAGAATTAGACTATTGGAATATCAGATAATCTATTTTAAATGGGTAACTGGTCTCTTATTAAGAAATAAAGATTTCTTAGACTTTTTGGAGTGGCAATTTTTAGTATGTTCATGGTTATTTCTTTGATAGAACTCTTTATTAAAAGTGAATTTTGGGGCTCAGTTATTAATATAATAAAATCTTAGTGTTAAAGCATTTTATCCAAATTAGCACATCTTTAATTATTTTGAAAAATTATTCATATTTAAAGACAATAGATATTTGAATATGGTAATCAAATTAGCTTACTTCAGTCTCAAAATAGATATAGCCATTCCTCCTTTTTCATCAATTTAAATTGTAAACATTCCCATTGAGATTTTGTTTTTGTTATTGTTAATACTCACCCGAGGATATATTTTCCCACTGATTTTTTTAGAGAGAGTAGAAGGGAGATAGGAGGGGGGGGAGGAGAGAGAGAGAGAGAGAGAGAGAGAGCGAGCGAGCGAGAGAGAGAAACAGTTGTGAGAGTGTCACATTGACTGGTCACCTCAGACACATGCCCTGACCAGGGCCTGCCTGGAATCGAACCCTCAACCCTTCCGTGTCCAGGCCAATGCTTTAACCAGAGAGCAACACCGGCCAGGGCAAGATTTTGTTGTTTTTTGTTTTTTCAGGATTTTGTTTTAATGGTTGATTTTTGGCAGTACACACAAATTAATGCTAAGGCAAGATTTACAAGTCTTAAATTACTAGAAAAATGGAGTCATCTTTCTCACCTTGTAGAATTTTACAACCTCAGTTCGAAAGTAAATGTCATCTTGTGTTTAAACTTTGGAAGTTTTAATTGGAATTTTATTTTGTGATATTTGACTCTGTAAAACTTAATCATGTAGCTAATTGTATTGCTCTATTAATATTTAAAATCTGATAGCATAAATAGCAACTGCTAACTTTTCAAATTACGTAGGTAGGGACACCTACCAAGTTGGATACTTATAGTGTATCATCTTAATGTGTTTTTAACTAAGAGCAATTTAGCAAGCTAAATCTTCTTAAAGCAGTCCGTTTCTTTCAGGAGATAGACTTTTTGCTTAAAAAAATAAAACAGGATTAAAATTACCTTTTGGGTTTTTTTTTTTATCAATGTCTAATTTAAAGTATAATTTTAAAGTAATTCCCAGGAAGCACATAACCTTTTCTTTTAATAAAAAGTAACAAAAAATATTGCAAATAAAAGATCCAAGACTTTTAACCAAACAAAAAAGAAACTTTAGCTATTTTACTTTCACATCTATAATTTAAAATACACTATTCTTCTATGTATGAAAAAGAAGCTTTGGGTTTACAATACAGACACATGTCCAAGTTTTTCCTACTAAATTCTAAGGTAATTGTTTCACATAATAAATGGTCACCTGGAAGTTTTAGAATAACAACCTGCTTAGAAGAGAAGAAAACCTTGTTTTCTTTGACAGTGAACAGAATCCAGAGGTAGTAATGGCCTTTTCCATCTGCTAGATCCCTAAGGATACCTCTAGCATATTGTTAGAGTATTAAAAGAAAAGGCATGTGTGTTAAAATACATTATTAAATGACTTGAACTTTCAAAGAAAAAAAAAAGCCCATAATTGAATCACGAACATTTGATTCAATCTTTCAAATAGGTAAACATCTATAACAACAGTAATTAATAGTATGATCTTTGCTTTGGAATCTCTAATTTAGTATCATGTCCTAAGTCACAGGATAATTATTAGGGAAATGTACTGATACCCAGAAACGACCCATCCTATAAAGAGATGAGTGAAAATTCAACAGGTTTTAGATAATTTGATTGCATTACGATCTGTAAACTATAAATGGAAATGGTCCTTAATCTTTTCTATAACATTTCATGTACCTTTACATCCAATTCTAGACTCTTAAATCATTATATTTATCAGAAGTCTAATTTTCTCTTTTATCATATTTTGGATTATTCTTTAGACCTTCTTAAAAATATATATATTTTATTGATTTTAGAGAGGAAGGTAGAGGGTGAGAAAGAAACATCAATGATGAGAGAGAATCATTGATTGGCTGCCCCCTGTTCACCCCCTACTGGGGATTGAGCCTGCAACCCAACATGTGCCCTTGGCCAGAATCGAACCTAGAACTCTTCACTTCACAGGCTGACACTCAACCCATTGAGCCAAACCAGCCAGGACATCTTTAAACCTTTAATTTAATTAGTTTAAAAAATTTAAATCATTTTTAATTTTTCAATTACAATTGACAGTATTTATATAACTAAGTGATCATCTTGATAAATCTAGTTCCCAGCTGACACCATGCATTAGACTATTATTGATTATATTTCCTGTGCTGTACTTTACATCCCCATGAATATTCTGTAACAATCAATTTGTATTTCTTAATCCCTTTACCTTTCCACCCAACCCCCCTCCCATCTAGCAGCCATTGAAATGTTTTCTGTATGAGTCTGTTTCTGTTGTGCTTTGATTTATTAAGATGAAAGATATATATTTATTGTCATTTTATTTATATTTTTAATCTTTTTTCTTCTTAAAGAAAACCCTTTAACATTTCATGTAATACTGGTTTGATGTTGATTAATTCAGCTTTTCCTTGTCTGTGAAGCTCTTATAGCTTTCAATTCTAAATTATTGCTTTGCTGCTTAATCTTACTTGTAGGTCCTTGCTAGTCATTACTTTGAATATTTCTTGCCACTGCCTTCTGGCCTGCAAAGTTTCTTTTGTGAAGTCAACTGACAGTTTTATGGGTATTCCCTTGTAGATAACTGTTGTTCTCTTGCTGCTTTTAAGATTATCTTTGTCTTTAACCTTGGCATTTTAATTATGATGTGTCTTGGTGTGGGCTCTTTGGGTTCCTCTAGTTTGGGACTCTCTGTGCTTCCTGGACTTGTATGTCTATTTCCTCCACCAGATTAGGAAAGTTTTCTGTCACTATTTTTTCAGACGAGATCGGGCTTGTTTAGGGTGGTATGGCCGTAGACTATTTTTTCAAATAGGTTTTTAATTTCTTTCTTTCTCTTCTCCTCCCCTTCCCTCCCCTTCCCTCCCCTCCCCTCTCCTCCCCTCCCCTCCCCTCTCATATGGAGAATGGATCCTGTCACTCCTCAGAGAGGACCTCTACAGCGGAGATACCCTCCTCAAAATCCACCACATGTGGTTGTGTAACCAATTTATTCTGCATATCTGCCCCTCCTACCAATCTCAGTGTAGCTTCTTTAAATCCATGAATGTATGACTTCTGTTCAGCTAGACTTTAGGCAGTTCTGAATGATGGTGGCTCTGTAGTGTAGTTATAATTTTGATGTGGTTGAGGGAGGATGTGAGTACCATGTTTACCTACACCCCCATCTTTATTAGAAGTCTCTATTTCATGGTTTTTTAAAGAAGTTTCACGGCTATCATATCACTTTAATAGCTAATTTGATTATCTCCTTTTTATTTTCATACCAAATCTTACTGTTAAAGAGTTTTATTTCAAATTCATGCTGTAAAAGCTATGATATAAATTTCCCTATATAATACCTTTAAAATTTAGTAGTGGCCTGGTCAAGTATATATTTTACATCTAACCTTAGAATATTTTTAAGTAGTTCCGGACCAAACAAGGTCAATTTTATGAGTATTAAGCAACCAACATCCCTCATTTTTTTAAAAAAATATATTTTTATTGATTTTTTACAGAGAGGAAGGGAGAGAGATAGAGAGCTAGAAATGTCAATGAGAGAGGAACACCGACCAGCTGCCTCTTGCACACACCCCCTACCGGGGATGTGCCCTGCAACCAACGTACATGCCCCTGACTGGAATCGAACCTGGGACCTTTCAGTCCACAGACTGACGCTCTACCACTGAGCCAAACCGGTTTCGGCCAACATCCCTCATTTTTAATTCAAATAGCAATGTGACAAAATAACAAGTGTCAGAAATTAAGAATGCTTGTTAAAGATTAGACACCGTCAATTATTTGCTGCTTTATGATTACATGCATATGTTGGTACATCTCCTTGGTTTTGAATTTCTTGCAACCAAGAACTTGAGTTAAAATGATCTTGAAATCATATGGACCCACCCAGAGTATAGATGTTAAAAATGTAATGAGAGATGAAAATCTAGGTAATGGAAGCTTTAAAGTGTTGTGGTTTTTTTCTCCCCTGAAACAAGCGTTTATGGCTTAGTCTTAGAAGGACACTCACATTAAAAGCGATTACCTTTTATATTCAGTAGGATGAAGCCATTGTTATTTAATACCAGTTTATAGAAGCAATATTTAATGAAGCTACCAAATTGTTTAGTATTAACAATATGCATATGTCATTTTTTTTCTCTAACCATTACTAAAATAATTTATGTACACAGTGACTCTGACTCCAGTCATTAAAGTAAAGTAACTTTAGGCAGTTTAGTTGCTACTAGCGTATAATTACTTTTTTTTTTTAAAGAAAACTACCATATTTGATTTCACAGTTCCTCTTTTTTTTTTTTTTTCTTCAATATAAAGAGTGACCAGTGCAAAGCAGAAAGTCATAATCAAGTGTGATATGTCTATAAGAATTATTAACTGAGTTGTACATGTAACCGACAATAGCTTTAATGAGCATACATAAGAATGGTTTGTGATTTTATGTTGGTAACATTTTAGGAATATATACTTGGCATACAATCTTGTTTCACAAACATCCATAAAAAGGCTTACTATGGCAGTATCAAAGTATATCAACATTTTCTATGTATGTAATGTGCATCTTCATACTAGTGATCAAACAAATGACGATAATAAATGCCATTCATTTTGGATGTCAGTGCACATTGTTAAGAAGATATGTAATTAAAATAAATATATATCTACTTAATCCTTTAACTATGGGTTTTGCACATCTGAGGTTTAATTGTCACATACTGAATTTTGCTGACCCGCTGGTGGTTTGTGAACAGGTCATCAGAGTCACAGAAATTTGCTTGGCAATCATGGTTTTTTAGTAAATTGGCAAATTTTTCAAAATCAGATATTACTGATTCTGAAAATTAAATAAGGTTAACTCTTAATGCAGGACTTAGAGGCACCAACCCCCTGATGTATTTGAAAATCCACATATACCTACCTAACTTTTGACTCCCCCAAAATTCAATTGCAATTGTCCCTCTGTATTCACAGATTGGTTCCAGGACCCCCTATGAATACCAAAATCCACAGATGCTCAATTGGGGCAAAGCAATGCATACAGTTGGCTCTCCGTTTTTGAGGATTCCCAACCTCAATGGACAGTACTGGTTTTGATTCCCAGTTGATTGAATATGAGGATGCAAAACCCAGAGACAGAGGGCATAGTGTATAGGGGGTGAAATTCATGTTTTTCAAGGGTCAACTGTAGTAGCTCATTTTGGAATTGTCAGAGTTTTATATTAGTTTTATATTAGAAGAGACCTAGAAATAGATGAATTTAAAACCGAGGAATTTTCAATAGGCAAAGAGGAGCTCCCTTCCCCAGAGTCTCATAACAACTCCTCTGAGAATCTCTATTCCAAAAAAAAATGTATCAACTTAGCATGTTGTGGCACTGTCTTTTCATAGCAAGGGGTCAGGAATTTGGAGCAGGACTGTGCATAAACGGAGACTAGACTAGAAATATAAATTTGGAAGGCATTTGGGGGAATTAGGTGGAAACTTAGCTCTAGTGACTAAGCTCCCTGAATGTCCAGACCCACAGCTTTTGATTCACACATTTTTCCCTTTAGCAAAGCACATGTACATATTAAAGGT